AAGAAGGGTACAAATAATGGTGGGAGGACACCAGGTAGAATGATAAAAAAAAATCAAGTAAAGAGACAAGAAAGAAGATAAAGTCGGGAGCGGTGCAGAGGGGAAGGGAGGAAAAGTGGTGAAATGGGATTTCAATGCCGCTTGAAGGGGTCGAAGTTTTGAGGTATAAGGGCATGTGATGGAGGACCTGGTTAGAAGTCTCCGTGTTGTATGGCTTGTGTGGCGCTGGTACAGGATATCAATTGGTTGTAAAGAAGAAGAAAAGAAGGAAGGAAAAAGAAAGAAAGAGGGAAAGAAAAGAGTTATAGTGTATATGGATGAGAATGAGAATTAAAGACACTGGCATGAACAGGAACAAGAAGCGGGATTATTCATCTAGGATGACAGGATGTGTGGTTGGATTGTAAGGGTCGATGGGGGACAGGTGTGCCTGACGGGGTTTGGGGACAATAAGGGCCAAAGGATCTGGTATCTGTCGTTGTGTGATGTCCCATTTCCTGTATCCGTTATGCAGGTAAACTTGAAGATGCGCAGTAACCTTTCAGATGTCCTAGATAGGGCAGATAGGGGAATGAGAATCTTATAAGGCATCTCCCACTGTCCCATTCGTGAGACGTCCACTATCGTTGTCCTTTGTTTGATCAAAGGCTGATGATGTGTCGTTCTCGGCGCCAGCAGCGCCGGAAGAAGAACGATCTACGCCGCCTTTTGCATTGGGGATGTCATTTGATGGGGCGGCTGAGGCATCTTCCGTAGAAGCCTCCTTCTTCCCGTTCTCCAGTGTCGAGTTTGCATCTTTAGTGCCGTCCATACTGGTACTGGCTTCGTCCCCATCGCCGCCTGACCCGGGGGCGCCCGCACTCCCACTATTCTTTTTGGCTTTCTTCTTGCTAGGTTCCGATGGGCCGGATTTGGCGCCACCTGGGAAAGAATTGGGCGGGGGAGGGCGCTTCTGCGGACTTGAGCTTGGGCCCTGGAGGCCTGACGGGGGCGGGATTCTGCCGGATGCTGGGAGACGCGGACGCGCAGCCATGGGCCTTTGCTTGGGGGGAAGTTCGAGATCTTCGACCAAGGGCTCGTTGTTGTTTGCTTGCAACTTGTTGCTGAAGAATTGCTGCGCCAGGCCGATCTGCGAGAACACTGTTTCGGCCGTGATGCGAGGGTATGGAGCCGGAGATGGGAAAATGGTAACGGTCTGCGTGGAGCTGCTGGGGAAATTAGCATACGCTGCGTACAGGTAGAATGTGACTTGACAAACCTGGTGTTCTGGGACTGGGCGGCGGTGAACATGCGGTTCTGCAGGAGGTGGAGAGGGACGCTGAGGGTTGCCAAACCGAACTCTTTGTCCAACCCTAGCTCCTTGAACCCGAAGAAATCTTCGTCGATGTCCTCGGCGAAGTCTCCGCCGACAAATTGCTCGCTTCCATCGTTGAAAGCGTTGGAGCCATCTTCGCCTGCGTCTGCTAAGGCAGGCCGCAGAAGCTCGGAAAGAAGCGATCTCAGTCGATCGTGGACAGTTGAAAGCTTCGAGCCAAGCCGTTCAACGTCGTCCTTGATATAAGTCTCCAAGGACTCGATGTCAACGCCGACGGAGGAAAGGGTGTGAAGAACGATTTCCGGCTCCGTGTAAGGACGCTTCCACTGGGACGCAGCAGAGGTATTCTCTACTCCGTCGCCTACTGGGACTTTGGGTGTTTCCATGTACGATTTCAGCGTTTCGCCGATCTTTTGGAAGAAATCAGCGGCGATATCAGCAACCGCATCAAGTGCTGAGGGCTGGTATTCCTCAAATCCGGTATGGTAAAAGATCTTGGCGACTGAGCGCTGCAAAGCCGCCTTGCAGACCCAAGGAGAAATCACCGGTCCTTCATCGTTCATCACATGTGGCGGAATGTCTTGCTCGACGAATGGCTCTGGGTTGTATTTCTGAAACTGGTTTTGGTACATCTGCCAAGCATTAAGTTAACAAGGGTTTTCATCGGAGGACCAACAAGTAATATTTACCTGCGACTGCAACTGCATCTGTTTCACGATGCCCACCTTGGAACAAATTTTTCGGGTTTCCTGCATCTGGCGCATGTTCGCATCCATTTTCCGAGAGAGCTTGCTGTCTGGTTCAGTAAAGACCCCTTTGGGAAGGACTCGCAAGAATTCCTCAGAGGCATCGATGATGTTCCCGCTTGCATCCTCTCTCCAGAGTAGATTCCCAGGGAGGTCGGGAATAGCAGACATGACATCGTAATAATCTGGGACAACGCGATCCTCGTCGACTTCGATGCCTTCCGCCAGGGTCTCGCCCGCTGCGTCTTGCTCCATGACTTGCGACGCTGATTCGCGCGCCTTGTCGCCTTCCGCACTGACATCCTTCTGATTCCTCATCCACCGTCTCATGCCGGCTTTGGTCCTCAGCAGAGCTGGTTCATCGGGCTTTAGTTTGTCACCTTTGAAAAGCCTATGTCTTTCGGCGGCGATGACAGCTCGATCTTTCTGAGTAACCTGCTTCCACACTTTGTATTCGGGATCTTCGAGTTCGACACCAGGAGCAGACAAAGCACTCGGAGCGATGTTCGCAGCAGGAATGAGACCGTCGATCTCCATGGAGTCACCCTGGCTAGCAGAGACACCAGCACCGGTGCCGACTGGATCTGACGGAGTCTGTGTTCCAGGGGGTGGTGGCGTCGTGAAGCCATTCTGAGCTCCTTCCATGGCCACGTCCGAATCAGACCTAACAGGCGGTGGCGGCTGGGAAGACGATCCCGCAGGGGGTTCCGAGCCACCAGAGGAAGTCCGAGCGGGTGCGGTGCCCTTTTTAGAAGCTGATTTGCCTGGGGCCTTCCGACCTCGAGAGGACATGATCGGCTCATCGTCACTTTCCTCCCCACCGTCTATATCTGCAAGCTGAAGTCTGCGTTCCTCTGCTTCCACCTCGGCACGATCTCTGATAACGATGTCCGGAATGAGAGGCACCAGCTTTTCCGACTCTCTTTTCATACACACGGCGTGCTTGCGAAGGAAGTGCTCCGGATTTGTGTTGTACTTGAAGCAATTGGACCATATCAGGAACAAATCATCGACAAACTCCTGCTTCGACTTGTATTGTAACGCCTTCAGCTTCTTCGTCATTGAGCCCAGGTCCATCGGGTGCTTGATGACTGTTGGAGATATTAGCATGGTCAAATTTGAGGTTTAGGTCTCTGCGCAAAGATGGACTCACTAGTATAGTAGTCAGGGGCGTCGCGCTTGTTGACACGGGTCAAAAATGCAGTCGAGTGCTCGGTCATCGCCTTGAGCTCACTCAGGACTTTGTCCGCAGACTCGTAGAGTTCTTCTTGGCCAATTTTGTCCTCGCTGGCCCATTTACTCCGGTTCTTGCGAACCTCGCTCATCAAGCTCCTAAGCTCCGCATCGGACGCTTGGACCATTGTGCGCTTCATATCAATTCTTGCGATCAAGTTCTTCAAGGTCAAGCTCGAAGCACCCAGATTGGCGCTGCTCAGCGAGCCGTAGCCATTACCGCTGGCAGTCGCGTTGTTGCCAGCGTTTGCTTGACTTGACATTTCCGCCTCAACTTGCCGCTCCGACTCCTCCAGCCGTTGCTGGTCCAGCATGGCATCCCTATCATTTTCCAGTGTGTAGAACAGGGTGTGGAAGCTCCTCTTGGCCGACTCCTCGGTCGCCTTCTTGTCTTCTGCCAGTTTCTTGCGGATGTCCTCCACGGTTTCCTTCTTTATGGGTTTGGTGCCATTTGCAGTTCCCGACACCGAACCGGTATGACCGCGACTGGGTGACTGGACTGCGGCGCTGGGTTCGCGGACAGGGGCCTTGGGTTTAGGGGGGGACGGCGCCTCGTCATCGTCGTCGTCGTCGTCGTAATCATCATAGTCGTCATCATCCAACTTCCTCGCGGGCTTTTTAGGGGGCGGCGGAGGTGAAGCCGGCCCGTCGGCGCGTTGGTCCTTGGCCCCGGACGAGTCAGGATCCCCGGGGGGTGCGCGGACCGAGTCATCGGCAATCCGCTGATTCGCAAAGAGGTTGTTGATTTTCGCCTCGCTGTCTTTGTATAGGTCGCGGAATGTGGAAATGCGCGAGTCCTCCTCGGCGGTCATATCAGCATCTGATATCAAACCGGCCCCATGGGGCGGCCCATCGGCATCAGCCGAGGCGCGCATCTGGGGGGTTTTGGAACCGGTGAAATATTTTGTATAGCCATTGACACCCCGGAATTCGGTTTGGTCATCTGGCGGGCGCAGATGGCCCGGGGGCATCCAGGTGTGGTGGTGTCCGAGCGACATGCTCGCTCCAAGACCCCGGGTTCTGGGGCGGGCGAGGGGGCTCGTTTCTCCACGGTTAAGATCAGGTCCAGCAGGGGGACAACAGAGGGTAAAAAGACTCGGGAAAAGACATAGAGAAACCGAGAGGGGTGTTAGAAAACGAGGGACGATGAAACCCGTCCCAAAAATTGATGGAATGGGGGTGTTTTCGATAGCGAAGAAACGCGGATTTTGTACGAGGATTCTCTGCGCGAACGGATGAGGTGAAGTCGAGGCGTGAGAGAAGGCGGAACGCCCGCCGCAGTTTTCAGACCAACCGCGCAGTTTGGTCTCATATGGCGATTAATCCGAAGTCTAAAGGCACCAAATCATGTAGAGGATATGGATGAAAGAAGACGAATAGGTTATCATCATTCAATTTAATTCAACAAAGAACTACAACAGTCAGTACAATTACAATAGGTGTTTTGAACAGGCAGGTCTGGTTTCAGGTCGCAGCCAAGTGACGGGCATTTGGTAATGTACTTACCATACTGACACATACACGCAGCAACAGCGTAACACTTAGTAGAGAATTACCGTATCACATGTGTATAATACAATACTCTACAGTCAGGCCATCCAGGCACCTCGCTGGCCTTTGATTCCTCAGGCAGGCAGGCAGCGTCATCGGATTTGGAGAGCTCCTCAGGCTCACTCGTACCTACTAAGGCAGGTCATCCTTCTCGTCTTCCCTCGTGCACCTCTTCCTTCTCTCTCTCTCCCCTGCCTTACCCCGGTCTCGACCATCTGCAAGATGCGAATTCGCTATCCTTTTGCAGGTATGTCTCTTCCCAAGTCTTCCATCCAATTCAATCCACCCTTGATCTCCCCGCATCATCAAAAAGAATCCGGAATCCGGGGAATTCCTCATCGCCGATCGGCTGTCACCCGCCCATCTGGCCACCTACTGATCACCTCGCAATCCCCATTACACCATACTCTCCCTCCGAACTATCAATCTTTCCAGCTAACTTGCTTCCCTCCAGGCGCCTTCATCTTCCTCTTCTTCCTAGCCGGCTACATCGGTCTCCTCCCGCACAGCGAAAACCCCAGCATCCCCGCCCAATACCACCCCAATGACAAGCTCCTCCACGCCGTCACCTTCTTCCTCCTCTCGCTAGTCTTCTACTGGATCCCAGACACCACCCGACGCCGCACCCTGCACCTGACGCTCCTCGTCTGCACCCTCGGGCTGGGCATCGGCTCCGAGATCGTCCAAGGCGCCCTCCCCATCGGCCGCGACTTCGACCCGTTCGATCTCCTCGCCAACCTCGTCGGCAGTCTCGGCGCAGTCGGTCTCTGCAGCTGGTACCACCGGCGCATGCTCGAGCGGCGACGCAAGGCTCGCTTCGGCGCCTACGGTGACGGCGCCGCGGACGATGTCGAGCTTGGTGTCCCCCACGGCGACGACGGCGACGACGACGACGACCATCTAGGCCCGCAGGAAACAGGCGTGACTACCCTCGAGCGCGAAGTCGACAATTGGGACGAGAACGCCGTCGATAACTGGGATGATGCCGATGATGAGCCTGACCGTGCTGCCTCCGCTTCTTCCAAGAGGCCTTCTCCTCCGGCCTATACACCTTCCCCGGGTGTGGCATCACCGGGTCCTCATGGCGAGGAGGCCGAAGGAAAGAGGAACGATTAATTTATGATTTGAATTATGTCGGTGCAGTGTGTCTACGATTGTCTGGTCTAGTATATTATATTAGGTAGGATCTACCTATCATCCGGCGTCACCGTCGGTACCTGGATGTGCCCAGTCAGCAGGTACAGGAACAAGCGACCCAATCCGATAGCTCCGGTGCGCCTTGTCATGATGATTGTTTTCATTTTCCTTATTGTCTCCCTTGTGATGTCGTATGATTCCTGTTTCTTTTAATTCGAGCCGTGTCAACACCACCATGATGTTTAATTATTCAATGGAAAGATGATAAAATAAACATGACCTGGAACTCGAAATCTCTTCAACGATAGACCCCTAAGCCCAGGAATCTCGAATTGAGTACCAGCTAGCTCTGTATGCCTGCTATCACTTGCACTGTACATTCTTTGATTTCTATGAGGTCGATGATAAATTAAGTTCTTCCTTTTCATCACCATGCAGCCAAGTCCTGCATCACGAGGTACATGCCACCTTCTCCCCGGGAATAAAAAACTAAAAAAAAAAAAAGACAGATAATAATAAGAAGAAACAACAACGATAATAATCTATTATAGAACAAATGACTTTATATGTTTTTTTTTCATCTATCTTGTCTCTAGATTTGAAAAGTATTTGGTAGAGTTTGATCGAATGAGATACACATTTTGAATGATTAGTGCGGGTGGGTACCGGCAATATATATTCGTTGTAGACACTTTTTATGTGATATGTGACATCAACCTCCATATTATGACTACCTAATAAACAGTCCCAAGAGGAGAAAGGAGGGGAAAAAAAAAAAAAAAAAAAAAAAACAAGAAAGAAAGAAAAGAAAAAGATACATTATCGAATAATAGCAAAACCCACACTAATAGACCTTTGAAGCTGAACCGGTATACCCCTACCCTACCCTGCACCTGCATCCACGTGGTCTACTTTCGCTAGGTATAGTAAGGATAAATAGAGACATATGTAAAAGTGAAACTACTGGAAAAAGGCAAGTATCGAGAAAGACGACCAGGTCATTTTCTCCGTGTTAAATTACTCAACCAATTATGTTACACCAGTTCTAATGCTAGACATCACAGCCAGACAGAAACGTGCCAGGAAAGGACTCAAAGACAAGGAGAATGGAAATAAGAAGAAAAAAGGACAAACAGAGAGGTACATTGTTCTTTTGAGCCTTGAGACATAGGTAGGTATGAAACTTGGAAGATAGCGCTCTGAACACAGACCATGGGGAACAGATAGGGGAAGATAATAATCAAGAAACGTGACTGTCGTGGTACAACCAAATATGACACTATGCTATGCAATAGTGCACAAAAACACGAAACGAAGATGGAAGCAGAAACCAAACTAAGCCGATGCAAGCCAGGAGTCCATGACTGTCATAAAATAATAACGGGACACCCAAGATTATACAGGAAGCAAAAAGAAAAGCAAAAAGGGGAAGCAAGCAACTAGCATAAAACATATGTACGTGATTGGAGGATGCTATGACCATATAAGGAAGGGGCATGCGATCCTCGAATTATGGGGTACCAGAAACAAAACATAGAGCCAAGTTCATTGATCATCGTCAGATTCCGCCGCAGTGCCTGAGCTGCTTCTGGTCGGCGTGGAAGGGTCACCTGTCGGCCTCAACTCTGGCTTAGACGAGGGTAGATACTCCGACTCGTCGGACAGCTTGGCCATTTTGGTGGACCTTTCATCCGACCTGCGACCGGTGGAACTGGGTATCTTGCCGAGTTTGATATCGGCCTGCTCCCGCAGGACTTCGTAGATGAACTGCAGCTGCATTTCGTTGTAAACCATCATCATGCGCTGTTCGCGCATCTCGTTGACAACCTCGAAGACGGGGTCGACGTCCGGGTCGTCAACCTCGAGTAGCTGGCCCGATTCGAGCTCCTGTAGCAGGTGGTCGAGAGCGATGAACGTGCCGGTCCGCCCCACGCCCGCGCTACAATGCACAATGCGCGGGTTGTCGGGAGTGCATTTCTCGCCCGAGAGCCTGATCAGCTGGAGTAGCGCGTCGCGGTCTTCGCCTTCTGGTTTTGAATAATCCGCCCAGCCGGCGAAGAGAAAGTGCCAGACAATCTTGGATTCCGTTCCCACCGTTAGCTCCAATTTGCGGATTTCTGAGCGAGAATCAGGGTCCAAGGTGGTCTCGAGGAGAGTGACTTGAGCCAGCGCGCCCGTTTCTTGGTCTTCCTCATTTATGAATGGATCGGTATCGTCGTCGCGGAGAAGCATGGAAGGTTTATCTGGATTGATCGGAAAGTACTGGGAGCATTTCTCTCGGCCCAACTCAAAGGTTTGGGTGAGCATGACGATGACCCCGACGTCTTTGGATTCGTGAAAGACCATATGCCAGAAGTGGGCGATGTTACCAACCTTCGGACCCTGTTTGACACATCGTTAGATAAAATAGGCGTTATTCAAGGGGATGCGCCGACTAACCTGGGTGGCAATGTACCTCCGCTCCTGCTCCGACACCGAATCCATCAAAGCTATGGGGGATGCATTGATGAAATCACACTCCCCCTCGGCAACCTGTAGGTGGATGCGAGAGTTCGCCCACGCTTGCACGTTCATGTAGCGGTTCCGTGCTTTGACCTCGGGATTCGTCTCTAGAGCCCACCGGTGAGAGGGGTCGTTGGCCTGTATCCCCTCTGCAACACGAGTTCTTTGTAGCCATTCCAGTTCTTCGAACCGATGATGAATTTCTAGGTCACAGTCAGTCGGGGACCGGCTGGAAGAACCAACGCACCTTCGAAGCAAAAGTGCGGGGGATGGGGGCGTCATCAGCGGGCGCAAAGGAGGGAAAAAAAATAAACTTAAAAAATAAAAACTCACCTAAACCTGACTGACAGAGAAATGGAGGAATCTGTTCATTATCACCCGCTTCCAGACCGAAAAATTCCTGATCCGGGTCATCGAGTCCCTCTAGACCTTCCTCCGGGTCTCCAGGATGCGCCCGCTTGGTCGCCTGTACGCTGGTATCGATTTTGATGGTAGGATGAGCCATCTTGGCCGCAGCGATCCTTTGGAAGGCCCGAACCTTGCCCAGGACGCCGCGCGCCTTTTTAGAAACCCGCTTTCTGGTCGATACTGATTTTCGAGGACCGTGGTGAAGGCTGACGGCGTCGGGGGATGCAGAGCGGGATAGTGGTGCGGTGGTCGGGTGCCCCTCGTGGAACGAAGGAGATGATGGATCGTCGTTTGCGCTTCTCGGGGGAGGCGGCAGGGATGATATCTGTAGCGCGGACAGATCGGGACAGCTGTGGAAGCTGCCCCTCAATACCGTCGGCTTGGCCAGATTTTTCGATCCCACCGGGTCAAGTCGCTGCCGGATCTGAATAGATGGGTGGTTCGTATAGTAGCGCGACGCTCGTGCGGCCACTTTTGCGACAGTATATTTGGCCTGCGCTTCGACAGGCCTGTTTTTTCCCTTAAGACAACAGAGTAGGGTAAGGTGGAAGTCCTGGAATTGTCACACTTCCTCGTTTGTAGATGTGTGCCAGGGATTTTAGTAATTGATTATCGCCGTCAATTCGTCGTCTTCTTTTTATTCCTTCTTTTGTTCCCTCCTTCGATTTAAATTAAAGGGCCGTCGGAGGGCACAAATCAGCCAGGGGATAATATTAAACAACGAAAAGAGGAAAAAGGGTTCAACCCCTCTACCCTGTTTAGTGAATTGCGATTCCCTCAGCGCTTTCGCACAGGACGTGACCAGCAGTCCAGTGTCTCGATTAAAAGATAAATAAAACAAAAGTGGGTAAGGAGAGATTATACCAACAAAGTCGGCTTTATCGGCAAGAAGCAAGTCAAGAATTATTAAGTAAAATCATGGGGAAGGAGAGTGAGAACAGGAGAGTGAGGGCAAAGAGGAAAGAAAAAAGATCTTAAGTGACAGGCTCACACGACCGGCTTTGTAGAGATGAAGAAGAGAAAAGGAAAGGGGTCTGGGGAAGAGGACCCAATGTCAGGGAAAAAAAAAAGGAAACCCTTTTTGTGGAGACCGGATTCTGACACCTTTGACGATCAGGACAGTAGAATTGTAACTGGCACCAAACCACACCGGTTGTGATGTAATAAGAATCTCAATTATGGGGGAAGTAGACAGGCTTGACTCCCATAGAAATAGAGTTGCTGTCGACGAGACGGCACCGGCATTAGGGAGATCATGAAAACGTGGGAGAAGGAAGTTAGTCGATGCTAGTACTGATGGGTATAGTGGACTAGTGTGAGGAATGGCACAAAAAAGCAGGTTGACGGTAGATCATTCTGAAGACTGTTCTCAGGTTCTAATCATGACGATTCAGGGTTAAAATGTCTTTCTCAGGAGATGCAATCCTTCTGAAAAGTGATCCCCCTAGCTTCTTTCTTAGGTATTATGAACAAGACCATAGTCAAGTATGTGGTTCGATTACTGCTTTCACTGTGAGAATTTGAGAACAGACTAAAATCGGACATTCCGTTCCCAGCAGGAAATCAGGCATGGATCCAGATGAACCAGACAGTCGGAATGATTTAGATGGGAAAGAAAAAAAGATTGACAGTAGGCGGAAGCGGGAATGGCTTACTTTGATTGGCTCTCTCGGTCCTTTTGTACTGCCGATTCCCCGCCGCCTCAACCGCGAACATGTCGAATCCAATGAACACATCGAAGCGTCACTTCAACCACTCCTACTGGAGACAATTTTCTTGCTGTCCACAGATAATGTCATTGTGGATGTGAATCTGGGGGTTTGATGACCGTCTATATACGTTGATCTCTAACATTGATTGATTTCGGGTGCCAATCTCATCATGGTGTGGCGGATGTTTGCGTTTGCGAAGCTCGAGGTATGTCGTGTACAAACCATCCCTACAGCCATCGAGGCATCGTGCGAGGACGGTGGCTAACAAGGTCTGTTTTTAGGAGATGATGATTCGCCGGGTATGAGTGTTTCTACCTTAAGTTCAATACGAGTATCGTGACTGATCCGGACTTCCTCGTTTCAGCTGCTGGACAGCCCGTTGTTCCATCGAGGCGTGGGGAAAATCCACGACAAAGTGCAGAGAATCAGACATGGGGCCCCTTCTGAGGATTTGAGGGTCGCCCACAAGGATAATGAGAATGGTATGGCAGATTTCTTCTTAGCAGGACGACTTTCCGAGACCTCGAGCGCATTGCTGATTCCTCATCTCCGAAGGCCATGGTGTCGGCAAGTTCTTCGAGTATTTCAAAGAAGAAATCAGAGACCAAGTAAGGTGGAAACCACGCGACAAGCCTTAATGCTTGGTCTTTGCCCGCATTTGGATATATATATATATATTCATGTTTGTCGTTCAAGCGTCCTCGATACCCTCGACTACCACCAACATTATCACTTTTTCGGTTCTCTACTTCATTCTCTACTCCATTCTCTAGTCGCCTACAACTGTCATTATATTGAATCACGCGAGGGCTGTTCACCGGATAAGAGTGGGTTGTATCTCTTTCACACAGTAGATTGCATCCCTTTTTTCCATCCGGAACAGAGAATACATGCTGCATCCGCTTTGCCCTCGCAATGATGGTTTGCCTGGGCTTTGAATATGAAAGCATACATGCTCGATGCGTAATTATATATGCAGGGCTTGATCCCAGCCTGAGTACGGAGTACTCCGTAGTACGTCAACCACGGGTGTGGCTTCCCATCAACAGACCGGTACGTGTCGAGAGTCACTTGGATCTCTTGGCCTGGTTAGAACTCTGTTGCCACATGCAGTTTGGAGCGGCAGTCGATATATGGTGGTGGCTGGACGGTGTGCATCGACTGAACTGCTGTGGGACCTGCATATGCAGGCCACTGCGATGCAGTCTCTCGACATACAAATTATCAAAAGCACCAAGCCCCAGTTGACTAATGGGACTTCATGTATTATTGATGACGTTGTTGGTAGGGAATGAGTCACTTTGATCGCTTCCCCTGGATGGAGTTTGGTACATTGCCCCCTGCTATACACTTGTTTAATGGGGGATGACGATCGAAGAAAATCAGTAAAGGGAGCATGAGATGATTATTTCACGCAACATGTACTCTATATCATATGCGTGGGATAAATTCATGAAGAGCTCCAAACAGACGTGATGAGATTGAAGCGCCCACCGACAAGAAACACACGGGCGGCAAGACACTGAGACAGGTTCTAGAACCCGTCAATCGGCGCCGATCCCGTGCCTAAACGCTTCGCGGATGTACACGTCCACCACCTGTAGTCTGTACGCTGTACGCTGTAGTCTGTACAGCTGTGTACCACTCCTGAGCCTTACTGAGCCACTTGTTTATTTCAAAAGACTAGGCGGGAGGGGCTGGGCATCCATGCCTCGGATTTGCAAGGATTTTTGTTGTTTGTCAAGGGGCAATCCAGCATCCGATGAAAAGCCGGCAACTATTGCCCTTTGCCTCCTCAGGTAATTCGTGAAAAAGTTAAATCTCACCCAGAACTGACCACCCCCCCCGTCTCCCCACTACTACGGTACTACGGCCTACCACCCACCACGCGCCAGGGTTATTGTCGGGTGCTCCGGCACACGATCAGAATGGGTCTGTGGAAAATCGGCTAGGTGATCAATGTCGCTAGTCTGGATGGGGGACAATCGTTAGGCCATGACGCGGAACTGCGCGGCATCCGAGAGGGAATGTGGATTTGCGGGAGGATTGGGAATGGTGTATTCAATCCTTCCTTATTGAGTGATTCGGGTCTCCGCGATCGATCGTTCAACTTTCCACTGTGTTGGAATTCGCTTCGTTGGAATGCCGCCCGAAGACTCCGTAGAGAACTCCGTGGAGACAACCCAGCGATGATTACAATGACCTTGATACAATCTGGATTGTACCATGGATGTCTTGCTTTCGTGCCTGTCATATCTTACCAGGGAGAGAGGACGCGTGGGTCATTCTCGGACCAGGACGATCGCTCAGTGGTTAGTTTGCTCCTTCGGACTCGCAGTCCCAGTGGTCCGTACCTTAAAATAGTATCGACTGGTAAAAGACAAAGAGGGTCCTTCCCCAGCGGGCCAATGGCTAGCGAGATCTGTCCGAGATCTTTTGGACATTCTAACCGGCTCCTTGTTTCTCTCAGTCTGTCTCAACCATGGTAGCTGACCATGCCCACGTTCCATGGTGGACGAACCGAGAGAACACGACCTTCGGAGAATTCTGAATCCATGTAAATAAACAGAAGGATCAGTCGCATCGATCAAGTCACATCGATCCTCCTGATTCGGATCGATAGCTAGTCTCGTCCTCTCTCCTGTGTCGGTGACTAGTGGAGTGAACGGCCTTTAGGCGCCTCGAGTCAGGCGCCCAGAACTGCGACAGACGGGACTGTTCTGGATAGAATGTCTCAAAGGACTGGCGATGACTGGTTCGTGAGCCTCCCTAGACTGTCCACTAGCGGACGCCCATCCTTGGATCCGCCACTGAGATTGGTGATTTCTGACAGAATCGAACCAGGGTGGAAATCCTCTCATCCAAAAGGGCCTGATGTGTGTAGAGAAGAAGATCCACAGCAATCAAGAGTCGTAGAAAATATAAAAATAATCAGAATAAACACTCAGAATAAATGAAAGAAAATACAGAACAAGTTAGCGCACCTCACACTCTGGCGTTGCACGGAGGTCCAGCCCAGACGAACCAGTCACTTCTTTCATCTACTGTAAATCCCCCCATCCCATTCCAGATTCCTTTGACTCTGATCCTTTTTCCCTTTTTTTCCCCTACCGCCTCCTTGCTCACTTCGTACTTACTCACTTCCTTCCACCTTACCTTACTCCGACTTTTTCCTCCACTCGCTGCATCGTGCTCCTTGACTCGTGTTATCTCTGATCCCAGTCTTTCGTTTACTCCGTGACTTTTCCTAGAAGTGGAGTTGGAAATCTCCTAGTATACCATCTTTCGGGGCGTGAACGATCCCTCGTGGCGCTTCTCGTATCACCACTCGTTTCTGTGAACACTTATCATCATCATCGGTTGTCTCGTCCGTATCCATCATGCGGGTTACTCAGGTTCTCCTCTATTCGCTGTCCATCGTGACGGTGATGGCCGCCCAGAGCACGGCCGTCAACGATAGCAATGAACTCGATATGGCCTCGGTCATGCCGGCGCCGACCGCAACAGGGGACCCCGAACCCACCGAAACAAACGAACCCACCGAACCCACGACCACCAGTTCATCATCGTCATCAAAAGAAACGAGCGAGAGCAGCTCGTCGACCACCGAAGACTCGACGACAGACAAACCACCACCCGCCACCACATCGTCTTCCACCAGCGAAGATTCCAGCTCCACGGAGCCACCGACACCCACCACCACCGACAAGCATGAATCCACCACGGACGACCCCAAGCCGACCTCGGACAGCCCCCCCGAGAGCACCTCGGAGTCGTCCAAAACCTCCACGATCAAGACCATCACCACCACCAACACCATCAGTGGAACGCCTGTGCCGACGGTCATGACCACCCCAGTCGAAGCCGAGGGCAGCGACTCGACCGGTTCGCCCGGTCTGAACGCTGAGAGCAAGGACGGAGACTCGGGTCTTTCGAGCGATCAGAAGAAGATCATCATCGGTGTGGTGGTGGGTGTCGGCGGTGCGATCCTGATCGGTGCCATCGCCGTAGTCGCCTGGAGAATCCATGCCCGCAAGGCCAAGGCCCATGATAACGACGAAGCGGCGGACCTCATGAGCGGGACCGCCGTGGGCTCTGCTGCTCGTGAGAAGGCCCCCAGCCCGGGAGCCCCCGGCGGGACTCCCTTCAGGTCGACTCTCGACCAGTACCACAACCCGGGTCCGATAAACACTGCCTCGAACTTCTAGTCATCCGTCTCATCTACGTGACCTCGAACTGGTGTTTCTGTCTTTGATCCCATTTCCAGTTTAATGGGCAGAGACTGATACATCAGCCACATTGAGACGAAAGTTGTACGATTATACGCAGTCACCTTGGGCGCTCGTGGGAGGATATATTTGGCCTCTCTCTCTCTCTCTCTCTCTCTTGATTTGGTGAATTCGTCCTTTAAGCATTTTCTTTCCGTTACATAGAGCAAGTGTCATTCCTTTCAAAATCACACTCCTTACTGCACAGCGATTGTTTCCACAGAATGTGGCTGATTTGATTTTCACCTTGCGATTGATTCCCCCCGCGCACGAACGCATTTGATTTCTGGAAGAAATCGATGAGCTGTTTATTTTTTCTGTCACACAATGTCTTCTACTCTTCCCTGGCCTTCACCAGGGACACTTTACCCAAAAACCTCTTTCTCCTAATTGATATGTATGTATTTATTTAATTTGTGACAGAAAATATCATTCAGACTCCAATAGTCCGCCGACCCGCTACACACATCAGTAGTAAACCTGGCACGGGGGGGGCAACAATATGGCATGACGTGGTAGTTAACACGCCAGTTGTATGGGATCGACAGCACGTCCTACTCAACCAAATTGTTAATTGACAATTGACATCCACCCCAAGATTGACAGATGACATACGGTCCACCAAAACCAATTGCTGGGGCGACGATCATCAGCGATCAACCCTCCTCCCTCGGAGTCTCCTCACTAGTGAGTACGACCCTCAACTCACTAAGCCCAAACCAAACCCGCCTAAGGCCCGCAACTGCTAATAATGGAACACGTTGCCGTCCCCCCTCCCCCTCTCCACCTGTGAAACAGAGGAGGGAAGGCCGTGACAAGATGGAATAAATTATCCGTCTACTAAAGGCTATTCTGTTTTATGTCGGCTAATGTTGTCTGTTTCTTGTGGGTGTTTGAGAGTTATAGGGGGGGATCACGGACGCCGGGTATGTCCGAGGTTGGATGTTTGTTCCGTGCGGGGGTAGGAGTTAGTTGACTCGCCATGGTTTGATTTGATTTGATTTGATTGTGGTTAGTGAACTCGGGTGGTGGTGGTAAATGGGGATTTGTGTGAGGATAGTCGTGTATCATGGCCCAGCTAGTTTGTTTGCCTATCTTAAGATAACTCGATACCTATCAAGACTACTCCATGTAGCGCAGCTTTTATACATACAGAATCAAGACACGACCGACAATCGCGTGCTGCAGACGGCACGGCACAAAACAGCAATGACGAACCTCACCCGCTACCTCCTCCTCAGCTTCTCCTGTCTCCTCTGGATCCAATGCACCGCAGCCTTCAAGGCAGATCCTATCGGGGTGGTATACGAGGCTGCCCCTCTCGCCAAGCGCGAGGTAAGCCAAACCTGGGTACCTATGTATCTTATATCAGGGCTGATTTTCTGATGACATTAGGCGTCCTCGGGGTCTTTGGGCGGTGTCATGCCTGCTGTTGGTGATCCTGCTCTGCATGACTGCTATATATGTATTATCTGATGAAACGTTGCGCTGACATCAGTGGACGGTACTGTAGATTGAGGATTCAGGTGATTCGGAGAGGCCGTATGCGGTGAATGGGGATACTTTTGTAGGTTGCTCCACTCGTCGCCTGCTTGATGGGGGGGTTTATGCTGTGTGTTGACTGTCGTTGGCTAACTGATTACTTGCTTCAAAATACAGCCGGACAAAGCGTCTGCTGCAGAGAGAAGGTTCGTGCATTTACTAGCATTCTGTCTTAGATGTGGTGGCTAATGCGATGTCACTACAGCTGCAATAATCAGTTCGACTCGTGCCAAAAGGTATGCTTACGCATATGTTTATGCCTATGTGTCTAATAGTCGCGACTTGAGTGGCTGATGAACTATCTTCCCCCAATCTTGGTAGAACATTCCTGACAATATCTAGGCAGCGAACTCTGATTCCTCAGCGTCCTTTTCGGTTGAGGACTGTCAGTCGCAATTGGGTGCGTACATCCATCTCTTTGACGCTATCTTCTAGGACAAAAGCTCACCTGGCACAGACGGTTGCATGGAGACGTCCGACTCTCCACCTTCACCTCCATCTGCAGATCCTCCCGCTCCAACAAGCGCAGACAAGTCTACGGTCGAGCCCGAGCCTGAGCCTACCCAGGCCCACACCACAATTCCATACGACGATGAGTACGAACTCATATGTGATCTGTGACGTGATGCTGTATACAGTGGTTCTATAAGATTATGTATGACTAATGCCATAAGTACAATGAAGAAAGATCTGGACTGGAAAATCTGCAAGTCATGATATGAGTAGTGGAGTATCTCGTTCTGTGGGGTTGCAGCCTGAGGAATGCAATATATCCCCAAACGTACTAGTGCATCCCGTGAGTCGAGACGCGACCGCGAAGAACCTCATACTACGCGGTGGTTGGTAGTTGCGTCGCGCTGTATTATAAGTTATAACATCGTTGCTGTGGCCTTGCTTCACTTCTCTCGTGATTCAGTTGATCGTCAATTTACCAAAATCATCATAACCTCAGCCAATCCTTATTTGTTCAAGACTTCCCGCCCAGAGCGATAGGATCAGTCGCGTCCCACATTGAACCCACCGCGGAACCACAAAGCAGCGCCCTCACCACTACCTGACCGATACGACGTCAATCCAACCACGCTTCAACCACGAAACATGTTCGCTGCACTCCCACCCATCCAGCAACCATTCGCACTCCCCGGTTCAAATCTACCATCACCGCATTACATCTCCAGTCCTCCTCCTTCTCACCCGTACTCCCCCCAGCGGCCATCGCCGCTCTCACCTCGCCGCCACCGACCGTTCCCGGAGATGATGACCGACAATACCAATCCAACCAACAGCAGCAACAACAGCAGCTTCAACTTCTTCGCCCCCCAAACCACCATCAACAACACCACAAACCCATTCGCCCCACCCCCATCCTCACATACAGCAGCATCCCAATCCTCCCGCTCCAAATCCTCTCCCACCTACGCCCAGCGCTACACCTCAACCGTCTCCAACCCCCTAAGCAACATCCTCCCACGCTCACACACAACCTCCGCAACGCAATCCGCGCGCAATGCCCGCCGCAGCGCATTTCTCAACCGCGTCAAGCGCGACCGCGACGACGGGCGGTTCGAGAACAGAGGCGAGCAGATCGTGCTGATGGAGCATGCTGCGGAGGAGAAGAAGTGGGGGGAGGCGATGCGGAGGAGGGCGGAGAGGCTGTTTGGGGAGGGTGTCCAGGAGGAGGAGATTGGGTCTGAGGGTATGTGCTTTTCTTTTTTCTTACCTCCGGCGCGTTCTTATCGCTTTGTCTATTTGGTTTATTCACCATATGGTGGCTGAGGGGTTACTGACAGTTATCGCAGATGAGAATGAAGCAAATGCGCTGGACGAATATATCCTTCAACAAGAGGAAGAAGCCATGCAGATGCAGATGCAGGCACAACACCAAGAGCAAATGCAAATGCAAATGCAAATGCAAATGCAGAACCAACAGCATACCCCCAACAACCGGACATCCTCATTCAGCGACGACGAATACGACGATATCTTCACCGATCTGGCAGACCACAGTCAGGATATGGATATGTCTGGGTGATTGATATCTTCATTCCAACCCCGGAGGGGACGGGTGATACATGATAGAGTTGTTTCATGGCTACTGTTATAGATACTGTTTGTGTGCGTTTGGTGTATGGTGTTGGGTTTGTGTCGGTTTAGCTGGGTTGTTTTTGTTTGAATGTTGTTGCTTTGGGGATTTATATGGGCTTGGGTCAGTTTTGAGGCTCAGGATCTAGTCTTATTTGGCTTGTTCAAGGTTTGTAGATAGATGTGTAGAGCTAGATGGATATCCATCGTGTGATCCATGTTCGATCACGACCATGAATCATTGAGATAGATAGATAGTAAATAGGGTATCGACATGGTATATGTATGTATATGTACAGAGATGTCAACCAAATGAAATGTAAAACAACCAACTGAATAATCTTGCTACAACTCGAAGCTTCCAGAAGTCTGTCAGTAGCATCCGGCTATTATGATAGTTATTGCTGCGGGCAGTCGGGCATCCCCGCTGCGCCGGGCGCACCACCGCCTTTCATGTCGTCCATCCAGGGATTGGTGACGAGTTCTTCGGGGGGGTTGCCTGCGGCTTGCATCTGTATGATCAATTAGTATCACATTAACACCCAGACACACCGTATCGTGTGTAAAAATGATATAAAAAAAGAATGGGGGCGGGAAAACAAACCTCCTGCATCTTCTCCCACACAAACTCCCTACACTTCGGATCCTCATCCGTAAAACCCTCTTCCTCAAACTTGCCCACAATCTGCGCAACAATGCGCGCCTGGTCCTCATACCTTGCCATATCCTCATCCGAGATCTTGCCCTTGCCCTTGTTGGCCGTGATCCAGGGTCCAAATTTCCCGTGGAGTTCCTTCATCGGCTCGTAGAGCATCTCCTTGTTGGACAGCTGCTCCATCATCCCCATGAACATCTTGGTCAGGTCGCCGTCGTCGCCGGCCCCCGCGGCGCCCGCTTCGACGGCTTTGAGGAGCTGCGCGACGAGGTCGTCGGAGATGTCGTCTTCGGATGCGGCTGCTGTCGCTTTGTCGCCGGATTCTTTCATGCGGTTGATGGTGCGCGAGATCGCGTCGTTGAAGTTCTCGGGTGCGTTGGCACCGCTGTCACCGTTGGCGGCGGCGGGGGAGGCCGGCGCGGCGCTGCTGGTGTTGGCGTTGGCAGGGGCAGCTGGCGCATCGCTGCCATTTTCAGCCATCACGTCGGCCAGAAGCTGCTTGATGAAGTCTCCCGGCGGGATGCCGCTATCCTCTAACTGCTTGGTGAACGCGTCGGCGCCCTGATCGATGGTGCTGGCGAACTCGTTGTCGTTGGCTCGGCTGGCGGATGATTCATTGCCCGCGGGGCCCATCATGCTCGCCATGTCCTGCTCTAGCTGCTTCATGAAGGCCGCTTCGTCGAAGTCCTCGCCGCCGGGGAGGCCGGCGCTGGCTGGGGTCTCGGGTTTGGGAGTGGCGGGCGCTGGTGCCGCGGCTGCGGGTTGGGGTTTGAAGTCGTCGAGGACCTCTACATTGTCATAGATGAGTATCGTAGCGTTGGATAGGGATGAGAGAAGGCAGGTAAAGCATGAAGTACATACCGTCCAATTCGTCAAAGTCCGATTCATCGTCGTCGTCATCGTTGTTTTTTGCTTTCCCCGCTTTAGTGTCCTGCTGTGTCTCTGTCCGTGTCTGCTCCGCGGGCTGTACAGGCGTCGACTCCGACTCCGCCGTCGTCACTTGCTCTGCTACTGCTACTGTCGACTCCGACCCCTTCGCGGTGTCATCCCCCGTGGTGGTGGTGTTGGTGGTGCGGGGATCCGCGGGGGCGGGCGTGGCCGTGGCCGAAGTGGACGCCATGTTTATTGCCGAGTAGGAATGGATTAAGTAGGGTTTGGTTAGTCACGAAGACAGGGCTGGTGGGGGGTTCGATGTAGAGGATGCAGATGGAGTTGAGAGAGGAGGAGATCTTAGAAAGGGATTAATTGGTTGATTGATTGGAAGATTGGGTTCTGGTTGGTTCTGCATGTGAAGACAAGGCTCATGTTGGTGGGAGTTGGGAGGGCGAATGATTAATCAAGCTGTGGTTGGCGGGGATGAGCCGAGAGCCGACCGCCGCGGTTCCTGTTGATGAACTTGTTTCATTGCTGGTTTTTATAAAAGGATGACTAAATCTTAGAAGGAGGGGGGGGGGATATGGAAGACTGGGGATGAATCGTGAAGTTGAATAGATATATCTATATACACTTTTTACCCAAAGACAAGACAGGTTACAAGAGACTTGAGTGGTGGACGGACTGGAGGGGAACCTCAGGCATAGGCAGACAAGACATGTCATACTCAGGCAACAAGACATCAACCAGGCATCAACGAGACCATCCCGTGACCACCCCGTGACCACCCCGTGATTAACGTGCCACGATATACGGCGGACCAGAACATGCGATGATGAATTGTCTTTTGGTATCCATCGAAAGATTCTCGAGTCTCGACTATTCGAGAGGATGAGCGACGCCGATCCTCCTGCCAAGGATATAGACTATCTCCAGGCCACTTCACTAGTAGTTACTGCAACTACAACTGCAATAGTCTACGGATATCAGATAGTTACTGCAGGAGCCTGGTAATGGTAACCGTCCAAGTCGGTCGGCACCTAATTCCGCGGTGTCCCCTTGAGTCCAAGGCCAAGTCGAGTCCCCGATCAGACCACGTCCTTCTCAGATGATCCTTCGGGGTCCGTGGCTGATCCTCGTGATGTCACGTTGCTTTTCTCGACGTCTTGGGATCTCTTTTCCCCGGTGAACGGATCCATGTTGGGGTCTTGTCCGCCCTCGACCAATCCTTCGGAATCTTTGTCCGTGGAGGGGTGTGAGGGGAAGAAGTCTGATCCTTCAAGCTGGGATTGCGTGCCGGTTTTACAGTCAGCATTGTTGTTGGTGGTGGTAGTTGTTGTGGCTAGCTTGGTTGTCTAGGGGAGCTGTAGCCTGTTGGAGAAATTAACATGGGGGGGGGGAATGAACGGCATGCCCCTCCCGAGCGAGAGAATCATGTAGGGTCATGTGCACATCCTCCCGTCCCCGCCTCTCCCCCTCGCAGGGGTGTATGATGATGATGAAGTTGCTGAGGTGGCCCCTACTGGGAACAGAAGGTGTCGGACGGGGGCGATAGAATTGGGAAGGGAAATTTAGTCGACAAGTCGGTTGGCTCCGTCGCGGATACCATAGTTTGGTAAATGCTGGTACTGTCCATACTACCAGCTGGTATCGGTCAGACAAACCCATAGTACATTTGACACCTTCTGTAAACTTCAATCTGTTCTATAAGTTCCTTACCATCCATTGAACCTACTCATCTGGTAAAGTATGATGTTAGCTGTTGGATATGTTCATCTTTCGCGATCATGAAATGAACCCGACCAGCCTTGTTGAAATCGGCGTTTGGGGCAAAAAAAAAAAAAAAAAAAAAAAAGGGCGTCGTGGGTCCGGACAAGCGGCAAAACCAATACACACGGAAAACCAGAGAAAACAGAAAAACTCTGCTGACCACGCCGGGCCTTCTCCGCGGACAATCTTGGTCTTTATTCGACGCCTGGCATGCGGTGCGCGATGCGATGCAACTTGTTCTCCAAGACTCCAACCAACGAGGATGAAATCCGCCCTCGAGGGGGGCCCTCCTCACTCGACTCTTCTACCATAGTACGTTTCATCCGGGGAGCTCAGATCTCAGGTACTGCGCGGACCATCGCAAACCGACCGTCTCACCGTCGGGGAAGGTCAACATCCGCCTGGATCGAGGATCCCCTCAATTCTCTCCAAGCTCTCGTATTTGGTCGTATCAATGGAAGTCCTTCCACAAGTAACCTGTCGTAACCTGTGGAGAAGAGAACGGTTTCGCTGTATTACCACTGTACGGTGCAGGTGGAAGAAACTGGTCGGTGTCTGCCTGTCAGCTTCGTTCCATGCGACATCCATCCCTTTCCATTTCCCAGTTCAGTTTGCAGTGTCCACCCGTTGTCTGTATGGGGTAAAACCACATTGTTGAGCCACTGATTCTGGATATTCCTTTGAATGGTTTAACCTGACCGGGCTGGACCAAGCGGATCCTCGACTGGGGCTTCATCTCGTTGGAGTGGATCGGGTGCCGTCGAGACCAGCTGGGTGAACATGCAAAAGAAAAGAGGAGGAGACATGAAATTCAAGTACGTTGTAGCTGTAACAGGAGGTAGACAGTAGGATGGGAAATACTCCATACAATCAAAGAGAATGTACTCCGTAATCAACGTCATCGTATCCTGTATGGATATCGGGTCTCGAGCGTTCGCCGGGGAGCTATGGAGAGGAGAAAGGAACCACTCCGAGGGACGTCATCTCCCGGCCATTCGTCTCTCTTTATTGATTTCATGGAAGCCAGATCCAAGACTCCAAGAGTTCCAAACCGGAAAAAAGAAAATTCAATTGAATAATGGAAGTGTAAGTCCAGAGGGACCTCAGGCCAGGACGGAGGGAAAACAACCGCCACCGAATCAGATCCAGACGGCGTCCTCCGCTTCTCCAATGGAATCAATTGAATGAAGAGTATAAGAGACAAATCTTGGCGAAGTGGACTTGGTATTTTCGGCTCCGGTGTTGGCTTGGGTGGTTCACCCTCTGACAGACCCTCTTTCTGTCGCGTGCCCCTTCCTCTCCCCCCCTCTGGAGCTCCGCTCGTTGGCCACTTCAGCCTTTGCTCTCCACTGTCCCAAGCTTCCACCCTCTCTGGAACTTCCCGAGCCTCCCCCTCTCTTTCTTTGGTTTTTTTTGCCTTTTTTTTTTTCTTTTTTTCACTCTCCCATTTCCCTTATTAACGTCGGGGTTCTTTTTAGTAAATAATTTTACCTCACATCTTCCCACCACCCGCTACTTCCCTCACATCTTCCCCTTCTAACCTGCTGCCCTGATGCCCTGCTGGTTATCTATCTATCTATCATCAATTTCCTTTATGTCACGTCTGCCTTTAGCCAACCTCTGTCGCTTCTCGCACGTCCCTTCTTCCCCAATACCCGCGCGTTTCTTGCGGTTGAAGGCTATCAGACACCCCGCCGGTTAAACATCCTGCCCGCTACTGGATGGTTTCCATTATTGATTGTTCTAATAATCGTTTCTCCCCGACTTTCTATTTATATTCTCCCTGATTTATCTTGATCGTGAGGGATCTTGTCACCCGCAATAGATCGGTCCCGATCTACAAGAGGGGGGATTTTTTGTGGTCATTGTCAATTCGCCATCATCGGGTTGCCGTGCTGGGGTTTTTTTTTGGCCTCTTTTTTTTTCTATCTTTTTTTTTTCTCTTCCCCCCATTTAATAAATAAGGGAAGAAAAAAATAAAAAGGAAAAAAAAAAAAATCCTCTTCCTTCCCATTCTACCATAGTCACTCTGTGGGTGTGGTATCGGCGGGGAATTGCAATCGGATTCAATATCAAGGGAACCCTCAAGAAAGAACACAGGAAAACTTGAGGAGGGCCAATAGAGAAAATTGCCCCTCTCAACCATATCGGTAATCAATGGTCTCTATGATCGAAACCTCCAATTCTACACACAATGACCCGGCCATGGACCCGGTCGTGCCCAAACCAGAACCCCTTGCGGAGGGTTCCATCAGTTCAGCGGTGTCAACCCCCGATCCGGAGGGAGAATTGATGCCCCAGGATGTGACCCAGACGCAAAAGCGAAAGGGTGGTCGGAAACCTGTACGTAAGAAGTCTTTCTCTCTCTCTCCCTCTGTCTTTTTATATGTTGGTGTCAATCCGGGGCCCCGCAATCTTTATCTCTGCAGTTATCAACCGTTGTGACTACATTGCCTCCTCATTGATCGGTTTTGTCCCACCTTATCATCACTTTTTCATGGTCCATCCGGATTGGCCTTTTGCTTGCTCTTTATCTCATCATCCCGGTCTTCACTTGGCTCCCCTGTCTTTCTTATCTTGTTTATTGCCCCACAGCCTTCTTCTTTTTCTTTCTTTTCTTTCTTTTTTCTTTCTTTCTTTCTTTCTTTTTTTTTTTTTTTCTTATTAATTCACCCCGTCCTCTTTTCTTTCCAACACTTCTTCATTCATCGGGTTGCACTGTATTAACATCTTATCAGATCTATGCCACTTCCGAGGAACGGAAGCAGCGTAACCGTCAGGCCCAGGCGGCCTTTCGCGAACGTCGCACCGAATATATCCGCCAGCTCGAGTCCACCATCAAGCGCAATGAGGAAACCCTGCAGACCCTGCAGCAAAACCATCGCACCGCCGCGGATGAGTGTCTGATGCTGCGCTATAAGAACTCCTTGCTGGAGAGGATCCTTTTAGAGAAAGGTAGGTCTTCCCTATACTATCACGCATTCCAATGCTCACGACTACACAGGCATCGATGTCCAGGCCGAGCTGCGCTTGAAGACGGGCAATCCCGGGGCCACGGCGGGTAAACCCAACCCAGTGGCTCCCAAACCGTCTGCGTCGCTGGAACGGGCCGCCGTGAATCGGAACACGGCCCAGCGACATCCTACCGGGATTGCTCCGAAAGGGGACACGTTTGGCATGTCACAGCATCGGGAGGGCGCCTACGGGATCCCATCCCCACAGTTTCAGGCCACCCCGCCGTCACATGTCTCGTCGCCATCGCACACCAAGTCCCCGGGATTCGCCTACCAGGGCGCGATCTCCCCCGTTGCGATCGACCCGCAGCAGGCTCAACAGCACGCCCAGCAGCGCACCCAGATGTTGTCGCATTCGCGGAACGTGAGCCAAACCTCGCCTCCCATCAGCCTCGGCCAGCCCGACACGGCTGACCTCAAGGCTACGATGCCGGCACAATCTCGCGCAGCCCGGGTCGCATCGGCCTACTATCCATCGCCCTTTCAAAAACACTATGACCAACTAGGTACGGTGACCCTTGTTAAACACATGTATGTCGATGAGCGGTTGCTAATATCTTTCTAGAACAAGAATACGACGCGCAGGCGGATTTGCTCGATGAAGAACATGAGCCTACCTCGCAGTACATGTCGGGCTTCAACCCCGGCGCCTCGGTTTCCTCCCTGGGAGCTCGTGGCCTGGCCCAGTTCAATCCACCAGCGAGCGAAGGGTCTAACGGAGCATACAACAACGCGAATCCACTACTGGGGAATTATGAACCCATGTTAGACACAGACCCGTTTGGACTGAGTGCCAGTATGCATTTTCAGACCCCATTCAGTTACGAGCAAAACGGTGCACGTCCATAACACTGGCATGGACACGGTATTCTCAGCATTGAGCAAGCGACGACCGCTTGCCATTTAATTCAGCAACAGCAAAAGCAAAAAAAAATTCCTCGAGTAATCAAAGCGAAGAAAAAATACCCCCTTCCTGTTTTTGTCATGACGTCATGCGTGACCGGAAGACAAAAGTTGAGGCTCTACAGCATTGTTCGGCGTTTTTGTGGTTACTTTTTTTTTTTTCATTCTTCCTTTATTAAATAATTACTTTCAAGGGTGGATGGAGGTTTGGAGACCAGTGTTTCAGTTATGGGGTGTCTATTGACTTGCTCATGTCTACCGTGAGGGGCCAGGGATCGGACTGCGGTGCAGCCGAACCGGGTCACCACTTGACTCTGCTCAAGATCCTACCTTCCCATCCGTTCTAGTATTATCTCCAAATTTGTGATCCGTCTGTCTTAGCACCATGTGCGGTGGCCTTATTGTTATCTCGGATGTTGCGATGTTGAAGAATTGAGTGGATGTATATGATCCGAGCGCCGGAAGGATTCATCGATGATGTCTTCTGCATGAATATGAGCCCCAAACCACCTTCTCTCAAAAATAAACTTTTCTTCTCTCCATGACCTTAAGTAGCAGCTAGAAGGAATGACGCAAAGTAGATAGATCCGATCATGGCAGAGATTCCCGCGACCGGGCAAGATAGCTTTCTCAAGCTGAGATTCTATGATGCCATCTGCAGGTCCCGGTGACGCCAATACCCTAAGCCCTAGACTCATTCGGCCAATCAACAGCGGAACTGCCGGATTCGCTTAGCAGCAATGCACACTATACCCGATCGGGCCGGTGCAACCACAACCCAACCGTCTGCCTTCAATCCACCGTCACACGCCTCTCCCCCCCCCCCTTCCCTCATTACCTATCTCCATCATCATCATCTCCCCCATCTCCAACCCTCTTTGTCGGAGTCTACAGCGTCGAGGTTTTTAACCCGTCTCGTCGCGCGACCCCCCCGCCCTCTTTCCCTTATCAAATTGCTGCGATAACGGCGAGCCTTCCCCCGGAAGGCCCCTCATAAACCCAGGCGTCATGGCCGACGTCCGGTCCAAGGTATGTGTGTACAAAACGAAGTCGCCCATGCGTTGTGTGAGGAGAGAAGAAGAAAACAGTCGAAAGAGGAGGAACGGAGCGATAAGCAATTGAAACATCGAAATCATTCAAACTTCCTGTTTTTTGAGGACTTGAATGAGATCTGAAAATCAATTGGGGTAGTAGGCGCGGGGTTGAGCCCGAGGGAGCCAGGAAAACGAAAACTTCACATTTCTTCTGATCTGGTTTTCAAATTGATTGTCTTTTTTTCTTTTTTCTCTTCTTTTTTTTTTTTTCCTCCGGGCGACTTCGAGATTTGAAACAGAACAAAGAAAAAAAAAAGCAAATTGCTAACGGTTGTTCCAACGTTGTTTTAGAACCTTTACGAGCTTCTTGGTAATTCTCGCCTTTTGTTTTAAGAATACCCGTGGAAGAAGAAAGGAAATGACATGTCTAACCTCCGACCCTCACGATTACAGGCAATGACCCTGAATTGGACCCCAACAGAGCTCCTGAACCCCCCACGCGAGCTATCGACAAGCCTATTGCTCGCAGTGGCAAGCGCGATGCCCCCAAGGAGCCCGTGAGCCAGGCTCCCGCCGAGACCAACAACCGCCGTGGTGGTCGCGCCACCGGTAACGAGGCCGGTATGTCGTGTTACCCAGGATATAGGGCAGCTCCTGTGTCTTGACCTATGTCTCGCACGGAACTCTCCCGCTGATCTTGAATGTTCTAGCTTTCCGTGACCGCAACGCCGGCCGCGGCAACAACCGCGAGAAGACCACCGAGGAGACCCAGGGTCCCCGTCGCCAGCGTGGTGACCGCGCCCCCCGCGACCGCCAGTCCCGTACCGGCCAGACGTAAGACCATCTTGACATAACTCGAACGTTTTTATGACCGTCCAGACCCACTGACTTGGAATCTAGCGGTACCCGCAAGCAGGTCGCCCAGGGCTGGGGTGGCCAGAGCGGCGAGAAGGAGCTGGCCGACGAGAAGGCCGGCGAGAAGATCGCCCACACCGAGGAGGCCGAGCCTCAGACCCCCGGCGAGGCCGAGGAGGCCGCTGAGAAGACCATGTCTCTGTCCGACTACCTGGCCGAGAAGGCCGCTCAGGGTGACCTCAGCGCCAAGCCCGTCCGTGCCGCCAACGAGGGCAGCCAGCTCGACAAGAAGTGGGCCAGCGCCAAGGAGATCAAGCGCGGCGAGGAGGAGCAGGAGTACTTCAAGGGCAAGGAGGAGAAGGCCCGCCGCGAAAAGCAGCGCAAGGAGAAGACCTTCCTCGATGTCGACCTGCGCTTTGTCGAGCCCCCCCGCGCCGGCGGTAGCGCTCCCCGTGGCCGTGGCGGCCGCGGTGGTGCCCGTGGTGGCGCTCCCCGTGGCGGCCGTGGCAACGGTCCCCGCGGTGGTGACCGTGCCGGTCCTGCCCCTGGCGCCGCCCCCGCTGTCTCCGTTGACGAGAAGAACTTCCCCAGCCTTGGCGGCAAATAAAGGAATCTCCCAGGTCATCGGACGACGGGGGTGACTTTCTCCTTTTTACGGTCTCGCGTCGTGGAAGTTGGAAGTTTACTATCTCCCAGGTCAACAATGCGAATGTCAATCCATATGGCTTAGAAACATTGCAAATTTGAGTATGAGTATGCTGCTGCTTGAAATGGCTGGGCTTTGACTTTGTGTGCACCACAAAATTTATCTGAACAGCAAAAAGGAAACGAGATGAGATGATGAAACCCTTCTTCTCATGATTAGGTTTATCTATTTCCTTTTTCTTTTTTTTTTATTTATCGGAGAAAAAAAAAATGATGTGGCCTCCCCCTCCATGTAATTTGATTTGAAATGTCGAAAAATAGGAAAGAGAAACCTGAAACACAAAAGTATAAAAAATTGGTGGAGGCTGCGTTGTTGCAGTCATTTGCTTTATTATATCAATTGGTATTTTTGATGTAGTGTACCTATACATTTATCCATAATGCTCTCTTCACCTCTTTACCAGTAAGATCAGGAAACCCTAAATTTTGGGTTATCCCGAAACATACTGTACTACAGATAGTACGGAGTAACTGGGTGACGGCGGAAGGGACACGATGGCGCGTGATCTTTGGGGTGAAAAACCGTGCTCTTTCCCCTGGTCTCCAAGCGAACCATATTTCAATAGCTTATGAGTTTGCCCACTGTGGTAGGAGAGTATATCTCAGCTGGTATGTATATTCTGGAACCTGGGAAAAGAACAAAGAGGTTGTTATCTCTTGCTATGTATAAATTTCTCATGATGTTTAATCTAAAGCATCTCATTAATTATCTAGAATACTTTTATTCTTGATAACACTTACCTTGAGCTAAACAGACCTGGCTAAGTTGTTACTTATTATTTTTGTGCCATGGAATTGAACAGACCTAAATCAAATATGCCTCAAACAGTACTGCTTAGTATCATACCGAAAATAGGGGATTTCGCCCTTTTCTGAATAGATACCGTGATATATAATTAATCAGTTATTCCCCCGCATCAACCGAACCGACTGTGGTAAAAAGCTGCTTTCCGACTTCACATTACCGAAGTTCTGTGCTTTATTTGTTGTACCAGCGTCTGCTTTCCAAATGAGCACGTACCACTTACCCAAGCATGTTTTCATTTACATATCCAATACTCCCACCAGAGCCGACTGTAACTCGTATGATCCGCCTGTTGCCGGATGAGGACAATGACGCCCTAATCAAGTGCACGCTGTTCAATTATACCCTGGCCAGGGAATGCAAGCGCAGAGGCAACAACCTCTACGAGGCCCTATCCTACGTCTGGGGAAGTGGTGTCAAATCTGAATCAGTCATATTGGATGGCTCTCCTTACCTTGTTACAAAAAGTCTTCATGCGGCGCTATTGTACCATCGAGACTGCCAACTTGATAGAATATTGTGGATTGATGCGTTAAGTATCAACCAAGAGGACGCAGATGAGAAAAGCCGACAGATTCCACTCATGCGAATGATATATGCCCAGGCAAGCTGCGTCATTGTCTGGCTTGGAGAGGCTACAAAAGAACGCGATGGAGGGCTTGAATATATTCGCCATATCTCAGAAGATAAGGTTCGAAAGGGCGTACCCACAGATGCCAAAAACATGAGAGTGCACCATGCTGCATGCTTGGTTCTGCCGTATCTGGGTAAGAGGATGCTCTGCAATTTGTATAGCTCTTGCTCATTGCCAAAAATACATAGGTGCTCCAGGAAGTCGGTGTTGCACGGTGTATTACTGTCATGTGTGGCTCTGTCCCGATAAATGGACACACCTTCTGTGAGGGCATTGGCCAATTGGAGCTTCCTACCCATATACAACGCGTTACTTATCCAGTCGCTCGTCTCATGAAAGGGGCGATATTTCGCTCAATATATGATGTTAATTCATGCGGTGACATTTGTCTAGGTCAATTGATTGATATGTATCATTCTCATCAAGCTACCAGCAAGCATGACAAGGTGTATGCTTTACTGGGACTTAGTTCCGATGATCCTAACACACCCTCTCTGAAACCAAACTATAACCTCCCATGGATCGAGGTTTATAGGCAGACTGCTTCATATATATTCCCAGGAAACTGTTCTGTGGAGACTTGGCCTGACAGGGACGCGGCCATTATTCAGGGTAAGGGATGGGTCTTAGCTCGGATTGACTCTGTCCACGAGGTCATTAATGAGCACGGCCATCAATTCATTCAGATCCTGTATACTGATAATACTCAGTCACGGCATTATCAGTCTATATGGGGCAACGAGTGGACACTACCGGCTTCTGCAGCATCAATTCAAGAAGGTGATCTGATTTGTCTTCTGGAAGGCGCCTCGTGTCCGAATATCATCAGACTGTGCAGAGACTATTTTATACTGGTCACAACAACCGCATTGCCTCAACAGAACAACAAGAGCAAGGATTTGAATCCAAGATCAGCTCCAAAAATTGACCTGGGGGGGGGGATTCCCCAGCTACGATATTCTTCTATTGTGGGAAATATCCCCGAACGGTGCCGGAAGCTTGGATGATCCCCAAAATTCAATAGAACTCAACATTAGAGTACCAGAACTCCAAGAAACACCCCAGGAGGTCGAAAGGCGGTTAGCTGATTTGGCAGTTATTATGGAGGAGATTGTCAGAGCAATTTTAAGGCCAGGAATCTCCAGAGCTCGGGCGATAGAGCGATTACTTTGTCAGAGTGGAGCAGGTATTGCAATTATGGAAGGATTGGTCAAAAATGCGGCAGCACATCCTGAACCCGATGCATATATGATTATGGAACTGCTATTCCAATACTATGGTCTAAGTTTACCGATCCCACAAGGAGTGGTCAGGTCAGCAGCAGGGAATACCGGTTCCTGTGGTCTCAAAATCATGGAGCTCTTATTTCAACGTGAAAAAGTGAGCTTACTGGCTTCTGGAAAGGTAATGAAAGCAGCTGCAGGGAATGTCGGAAATGGGCATGAAATACTAATGCTTTTGATTCAACGCTGAGACACCAATCTACCGGTCTCTGAAGAAGTTGTTCAAGAAGCTGCTAGGAATACTGGACATAATGGATATGTGATTATAAAGATCCTCTGTCGACACCTAGAAGCAAGCCTGCCAATCTCTGAAAGGGTGGTCAAGGCAGCAGCCGAGAACACTGGAGTTTATGGGTATCGAATGAGAGAAGTTCTCTCGCAGCATCTGGCAACGAACCCTACAGTGATTCAGCAACGCAGTAGATGAAGGTCAACATGAGGCATGCATTTTCTTTTGATATACCGCGGATGGCTTACCAGGTTCGGCTGGATAGCTGGCTGAGACGAATCTTCCAGCAAGTTCAACCGATTGTGTTCCCACTAGAACAGGATTTTAACTATGGTACAATACATATATCTCCATTGAGTCAGGCGAAAAGACTTATCTTTATACCACAGATCACGATGCCCAGCAGCAGCAAAGCACTTTCCCCGGCGAGGAATACCATACTGAATACAGTAGTTCACCATCACCGCCGAATAGGGTGTAACTGGTAGTAGTGATAGAAGTGCCCACTCAAGTCCCGTAACGAAGCCCAGGTCTTGCGAGATGAGCCTGGATGATAGAATGAAAGACGAATCCGACATCATAATTCATAAAACCAAAATCAGTTACCCAGAAATCGCAGCAAAAGAAGACATGATCATTGAAAAATCGCAGCAAGAACTTATATACAATCACCATTTTATCACCCCACGCCCAGACCGTCAAGTAAAGAGTGAGCTGCTCCGAGGAAAGAGTAGCAAGATAGACTACTCATCATCCAAAGCAGCAGCAGCCTCCACCTCTCGCTTCATATAGTGGTCGACCTCACTCAGCTGGCGGCGTCGAAGCTTCGTCAAGTCATGGCCTCGCTTCTCGGCATGTCCGAATTCCTGCTCATGACGTTCGAGAATCCCGTTGGTGGTTTCGATAGCTTCCGCGTGCCGCCTGCTGATGAGACCCTCTTCGAAGTTGCGTTTGCCGTCGTTGCGGCAGCAGCTTTCCGGAACGCGGCCGGCGAAAGAGATGAAAGAAGTAGCAGGACAGGCGCCCTTGTTGGGCCCATCGCGGCAATTGTACCACAGGTTGTTGACTTTGACCTTGTTGACGGAGCCGGCGGGTGAGCAACCCAAGGAATCGCGGCAGTTACACGGGTTATCACAGGGGAGCTGCACGAAATCGTGGCAGCGACTATCTGCTATGCCCCACTTGCTACTGCCAAGGTGGAAGAAGCCCCAGTTATAGCCTGGGCAAATGGCCGACACGAGCGGCAGGAGAGGAAGAAGGGACAGGATGGCTTTGGGTTGCATTGTGGTTGAGTGGGGGGATAGATGGCTTGCTAGCGGGTCGTATGTATGTGTTGAATGGTCATTTGGTCGTTGTTGGATGGGAGAATTGAAAGAGGAAGATAGTTTTACTGTTGTCCTCTGGTCGGAGTTAATGGCACAGTATCGCTCTTTATATAGTGTCGATGCAATCACTGTGTGGATTTTGATTAAGCTTAGTGCTTATTAGGAAGAAGGATTATTTTAGTTCTTATAGTTGTTGGGGGCGATGTGTCTGATACCCGAGCCACCTCCATGTGCAAGAAGGAATAGTTGAAGATTAGGTTATTCAGGGGTCTAGGCAGTAGATATAGGTATATATCAGATAACTTAAAGATTTTACTACTTAACAACTAGTTTTGGGCTATGTACGGCTATCAAGAGTTCTTTTTTGACGCTAACTTATACGATTTTCAAAAATAGCAAGCTTATTGATGAGCGAGAGACAGTTAAACATGACAACGAGCGACTGTTTAAAACCAAATAAAAGGCGAGCACGATATGAATCCAACAGACATCGCCCAGCAAAGATATGGCCTGGCACAAAGTGGCTGTGATATTTACATGACGACGGGCAGCAGGAAATGGAAGCAAATGCCGGCACTGGTACTGACTCAGGTGTGGCACCCTTCCAAGGCGAAGAGAGTAGACAAGCCTACTCATCGCCAAAGGCAGCAGCCTCGGCCTCGCGCTTCATAAAATGGTCGACCTCATTCAGCTGACGTCGACGCAGCTTACCCAGGTCAATGCCGCGCTTCTCAGCGTGGTCGAACTCCCTCGCATGGCGCTCAAGCAGCTCGTTTGTAACAGTAATAGCATCAGCATGGCGTCTGCTGATGAGACCTTCCTCGAAATTGCGCCTGCCGTCGTTGCGGCAGCAACTTTCAGGGGCGCGGTGCTGGATCTGGTTCTTGCTAGCACCGCAGGTGCCCTTGTTGCGGTCGCCACGGCAGCTATACCAGAGGCCATTGACACGCACTCTGTTGACGGAGTGGGCGGGCGAGCAGCCCCAGTGTCTGCATTCGCAGATGTTGTCGCATCGGCCGGTGACGCGGATTTTGCAGGCAACGTCAGCGGTGTAGAACCAGTTGTCGCCGCCGTTGAAGAAAGCGTAGTTGTAGCCGGGGCATATGGCTGAGGTGAGGGGGAGGAGAGGCAGGAGGGAGAGGATGATCTTGAGATGCATTGTGGTTATTGGCTAGATTGGGTTTGTTTGTGAGTGTGTTTTTAGTAGTAGTATTCTACCTAGGGGTGGGAGAGAATCTAGAGTGAAGGGCTTCTGATTTCTGGTTGGTGGTCGTCGCCCTTTATATGGCTTTGTTCCATGCCGGTAGTAGCATGGTGATATTATGGATGGTACTATCCTCTGGTGAAGCATCTGTCTCCAGGATGTTGAACCGCTCCAGCTTCAGACCTCTCAGGAGCTCCGGATAACTTACTGGCCTTCGTCTTGACAAAAGTACAGTCGGCCAATAGCCAACACTCCGATGTGTCTGCGATGACCGCGAGCTGACCAATGATGGACAGGGTATTGATATTGATTCGTCTGGAATTGAAACAGTTGCCAGCAGAGGCCGGGGACGCTTTCGGAAGAGAAAGGAAGAAGAAGAAGCGTTGGACGGAGTGTTACCATGCTGATGGGCTCGATCAACAACTCCCGCTCAGTTCCGTCTTCGGTTTGGGGCCTTACCACGTCACCTTGTTACCGTAGGTAGCAGTTTTAGCAACAGAATAGTTCTTTTGGAGAGGTTGATCTTATCATTTCTTCTAGAATTGCCAGCTGGTGTCGACTGATGAAGGTTATGGAGAGAAATGTCTTTTCTGGCGGGCCCAAGCAAGGTGAAGTACATTCTGGAGACCTCTCAACCAGAAGAATAAGCCCTAGACGAAGAGGCGTGTATGACTGCTTCTCCGGATACAAGGAATTGGAAGCAGCCCGCCAATGAGATCTGGAAAATCAGGATATCTTCAGCAGTCAGCAAGGCTGCGTGTTACTGTCTAGGGAGGAACAAGGATGGCTGTCCGACAGCAACACAAACAGCCAAGAGAATGGAACGATTGTGTTCGTACGATAGGCTGAACAAGCCTGGCAATTCTAACTATTTACGATCGTTTATCATTCTTCTCTATGCTTTATACGTATCTGTATATTCTGTCTCCTTTATTTATATCTATCTCTTGAGATGTTAGTATGTGACCTTCGAATCATACTGAATTACTTAGTATTGTTTCTATCATTCCTTACTAAAGAATCGAGCATCTACTGTTTCAAATGATCGGGTAGTGTCTGATAATGTATTGTGATGTTTGCTACCTGCACCCGGTCGTCTCGTCCCAAGAGCGAACTTGCTTGTTCTCACTGATTACCCACGAGGACAGGAAGGGCAGTTCAATAGCTGTGAGACAGATATAGAGGCAGCCTGCATTCCTTACATTCTACACAGGTAGTAGTAGAGTAGTAATAGAGGGTAGCCACGCTACAAATAACATTAAACAAAATGAATATACTACTCATAAAGATGGTTCAACTACTCCAGCGCTGTCCCATACAAGCGATCCCCAATATCTCCCAAACCAGGCTTCACAAACCCTTTCCCATCGACCTCCTTGTCCACCGCCCCGACAACGACCTCCGTCCCCTCCGGCCACGCGCTCGCCACGGCGCACAAGCCGGGATCACTCCCCAACAACGAGAACAGCGTGACGTGCTCGACGCCCCAGTCTCTGTAGTACAATCTTGTTAGTTGCCGTTGTATCGAGGTCTCCATCCAATTTAAGGGTAAAACGTACTTCATAATATCAATAGCGGCCGTAGCAGTACCACCCGTCGCAACCAGCGGGTCGAGGATATAGGCACGCGTAATGGCGGGATTTTTCTTCGGCAGCTTGTTATAATACTCGACAGGGCCGAGGGTGTGTTTCTCGCGGAAGAGGCCCAGATGGTGGATGACGGCGGTGTCGGCGACAGAGGGCGGGAGGCTGGAGACGAAAGAGTCGACCATGGAGAGACCCGATCGGAGAATGACGACCACAGCGATGGGGTCGTTGGTGGGTGGGGGAGGGATGTGTTTTGCGAGTGCGCTGGTGAGCTCGTTGATGAGACGGCGGACTGTGGGTGGGGGGAGGGAGAGATTGCGGAGCTCTGTGAGGAGCTGCGCCGCTTTGGGGTCTGCGATTTGGGTGATGTTTTGGGGGAGCGTCATTTTGGTTGTAAATTTACGGGTAGAAAGAAAAGGAGGAAAATGGATACGAGGATGATAATGGTAGGCATTCTTGGGATTGGGATGATGGGGATTATATGGGATGTGATGCTATACTATCCAGTAGGCGGGATGATAAGACTGACTGCGGGACGATAAGATAAGAGCGCATACTATCGGATCGAGGGACCTGATGATAAACCCTTATCATATCTTATCGGACGTTATCGCCAAGATGGAGATGTGGGTTCGCCGTTGCCGTTCGCCGCGAGAGGCCGAACAGCGTCATCGGCCGACCCAGCTCGGCCTGATCAGTAGCTGGGTCGTCTTGGAAAGACAAGTTGCTGCTTATATAGGGCTCATCATGGAAGTCAGTATGAACACAGAGCGTTCAAAGCATCTATACAATAGGAACCAACATGGCCGATATCCAGTATCTGAAGAGCCTCCAGGCCGTCCGTGACAGGGCCCACCAAGTCCTGGGAGCAGCGCAGAGTGGAGATCTGTCCCACTTTGACTATCACCCATCGCGCATGGCCTCGACAGCGGAATACGTCGCGGGTATCATCACGGTAGGTCCAGCTTCATGACACTGCCCTACCGCACAAGCTGACCACCCGTAGCGGGACTATGGCCCAGACAGATACGATCAAATCCCCCCTCACGGACGATGGCAGCACTTTGACATCGGTGGTGTCCCGCGCATTGATCGTCTCATCAAGCAGTGGGAGCTAGACGGATGCGATAAGCGTGAGATTGCGCGCCGTCTGGTCGATCTCTTCTTCTTTTCCGTGCTGGTCGATGCGGGCGCCGGTGATGTCTGGCACTTCACGGAGCCCGATACGGGACATGCCATTGGTCGGAGTGAGGGTATTGCTGTTGCGTCCCTGTACATGTTTACTTCGGGTGCGCTGTCCGGCCAGACGGGCGGGGGTGTCCGTGTTGATGGTATGTATCTTAACACAAGAGTAACTTGGTGGAAAGAAATCAGCTGACTGAGGCCGATATCTTAGGACATGCCCTCGCCGCTCTGGATAGCGGCGTCTTTCAAACGCATTTCCAGATTGACAGCAACAATCCCATGGTCGGAGACCTGTCACGCGTGAACCTCCTCAACAACATCGGGCAATCGTTCCTCCGCATGCCCCAAGTTTTTGGCCCAACCGGGCGCCCTGGTCAGCTCGTCGGTGCGTTAATCCATTTACCCAGCCATCACCACCACCACTAACACTCGTCTCCTCCTACATAGATTACATGCTCTCGCAGAAGAAAGAATCCCCCTCCCTAGACTTCACCACCCTCTGGACAACACTGCAAGACCTACTCCTTCCAGCATGGCCCAAAGACCGCACCCACATCGCAGGGACACCCCTCGGCGACGCCTGGCCACTACAGACTTTGGCCCGCCTAAAGGCCAACAAAGACACCCCCAACAACACACAGCACATCCAGCCCTTCCACAAACTAACGCAGTGGCTCGCCTACTCGCTTACCGTTCCGTTCGTGCGCGTCTTAGACCTACACTGGGCAAACGACGATCAAGGCACGGGTCTACCCGAGTACCGCAACGGCGGGCTGTTCATGGACCTAGGCGTCCTTACACTGAAAGACGAGGACCTCCGACGCGGCCGTGAGGCCTCCGGACAGGATATCCCTGCGTTTGGCGCCAGCAGTGATGTGATTGTCGAGTGGCGCGCTATGACGGTTGCGCTGTTAGATGAGCTGCATAAGCTTGTTGCGGAGCATTTTGCTCAGAAAGGGGTGCGGCTTAATCTGGCGCAGATGTTGGAGGCGGGGAGCTGGAAAGGCGGGAGGGAGCAGGCTGCTAAGTTGAGGCCTGAGACGCGGTCTGGTCCGTTTATTATTCAGGGGGATGGGACGTTGTTTTGATTTTATATGATGGGGGGGAGATTATATGATGAGAAATGGTGGTTTCTTAGACCTTATTCGGGAGATTTCCATATCTAAGTTAGGTTATGTCTGTTCTGATTGTATCGTTTGATGGGTAAACATGCTATTTATCATGCAAATACATACATCTAGAGTCTGCATGACAACCTTTGAAATATTGAATCCCCAAATAACTCATCTTCAGATAAGGTAATCCATGTTCTATCAATATGTTATATACAGTATATCGTACAACACAGCGGTTATATCCATTGAATATCAAGCCCCCACCACTCGCCAATTGGTGGTTTTGGTGGGATGGTCAAGACAAGACATGTTAACGAGATGCGCATCCAGTTCTAAAGTTTCAACGCGAACCAGATATCAATGGATAAACGCAATAAGCAAACCTCAACTAAAATCACAGAATAGACAAAAAAGCACGTGCAAACTATTTACTAAGTGTCGTCAAAATGTGCAGTGCAAAGTAGAACCCTAGACCATCCATCGACCAATCCTCACAGTACCACCAAACAAAATATCATTTCATAAAGATCCACACAGGGAGTTTCGAAAGTTCAGAACTTGCTCCCCGTCCCATAAAAACGATCTCCAAAATCACCCAGTCCAGGATCAATTTCCCTACGAGGCAACAAGTCAGCAAAACAACTCACATATCCAAAATAGTGAACAATGGTAAACTTACTTCCTCGCAGTCAACGCCTCGTCAATAGCAGCCGTGACCACTCGCAGGCCCGGATAAGTTGAAAGCAACCTGTCTAAGCCGTAGCGGGCGGAGAGGATATTCACGAAGATGATGCTCTCTTCGGGGACGCCGGCATCTTTGAGGACGTCGATTGCGCAGCAGGCGGATCCGCCTGTTGCGAGCATTGGTTCGAGGATTAGGACGGCTGTTTTAATCAATTCGTCAGTTTTAGCTAGGTTATATCATTGGGGTGTTATGGATGGAGAAAGGGGAAGCTACCGTTTGAGGGGATCTGCGGTGGGAGTTTGGAGTATAGGAGAGCGGGGAGGGTGGTCGTCTCATCGCGCTGGATGAGGATCGTGCCGAAGGTTAGGGGACCACTGTTGTTATCATCTGAGTTAGTACGTTTATTCTTTTTGATAGGAGAAACACTGAGGTGGGAGGGAATGAGGAGGGAGCAATACGTATAGGCCCTGCGCACGGCATTGTCAAGACTAGCCCCCGCACGGAGAATGCTCACAGAGGTAAGCGGCTGGGTCTGGCGGGCACCGTAATATGTCGACCCCGTGGGGCTCGTAACGGCGAGTTCCTCCACGGGGAGGAGATCAAGCGCTGGATGTGTGTTAGAGATATAGACTTATATAGTACACTACCCGGGTAGGTAGGTATGTGAGCTGGAAAGATAGTACCTGCGTTGACGAGCTGATCGGCGATCCGCTCGGTGGTGCTCGAGAAGGTAGCTCTGGTGGTACCGGCGTCACGAAGGATGCTCATCAGGCTGAGGAGATGGCCCCGTTGGGGGAGGAGGAAGGTTCGCGCGGAGGAAGAGCCGGCATGGCTGTGGTGGGTCTGATTGTCGTTGGGGGTGGTGCTGGTGTGGGAGATGGTCATTGTGGAGACTTTTTCTTATTTCTGGATGGACTGGGAGTGCGTGGATGTGGTTTTATGAGGCATTGTGGTGTCTATGGTTGGTGTATGCTGATATCTGTCTCATTGATCAGCTGTAGTTCAGCTGTATCCCCGCGTGAACGATGATCGTCTATCTTATCTTGAGGGGTGGAGATAAGAGATAAGAGATAAGGTTTCTTGATAGTGGAGTTGAGTTCTAGATTCATGTAGGAGCCTAGTCGTCATTATATTGATACCAGTCTGTTATAATATGTGTGGTTGGAAGAGGCATGCAATAAGGATAGTTGAACAGCAGATTACTCTAGAATCGTCCACTCAGGCCTTTCTGGCGGCTCAATATGATGTGACAGTGAGATATTATTGAATTGATTTTGTCGTTTAATTGTATCACTCAAGTATTTCTAGCCAGATACACTGCTATATTCATCATGATCATATATGAAGCCCATTTCTCCATAAGATACACCACTGCATAGTATAATAGATCCCTTTCCACATAGTTCAATACACAACTCAAGCAAATAACATCGATATCCTGCCTACATTAGCACAAAACCGTTACCTCCGCTGCAAACAAGAAAAAGAAAGAAACTTACGACTCCCCATTATGCGTCCGCCGCACAGCCTCCGCCAGCGTCGGACTCACATCCATCTGGTGTATCTTCCCACAAGACCGCGCATGCTCGGGCAGAGGCAAAGTATTAGAGACAACCAGCCGATCCAGCTGACTGTTCTCAATAACCTTGACCGATGGCCCGCTCAGAAACCCATGCGTCACGATAGCAATGCACTTCTCAGCACCCTGCTCCTTGAGGATGCTGGCTGCCAGAGCCAGCGTGCCGCACGTGTCGGCGATGTCGTCGACCAGCACTGCCGTCTTACCCGCCACGTTGCCTACCAGTATCATCCGACTGACCTGGTTTGCTACCTTGCGCTCTTTGTGGATGATGGCGAGGTCGACGTGGAGTCGGTCGGCGATTGTGGCAGCTCTATATACGGGTAGTGGTTAGACTAGAAGATAGACTGGAATGAGGACGATGGGTGGGTTCGTACCGCTTTGCGCCACCTGCATCGGGAGAAACGACAACCAGGCTGTCGGTGCCATAGTTGTGTTGAATGTGTTCGATCATGCTTTTTTCGGCAAAGAGCTTTTGCTATGGTCAGTGGGAGTATGTCCGGGTTTAGGGCAGATTCTCACGCTGGAAGGTAATGTTAGCTTCATTCTACCAGGGCTGGAAAATCATACTTATCAACTGGGATGTTGAAGAAGCCCTGAATCTGGGAGGCGTGGAGATCCATAGTCTAAAAACCACAATCAACCAAAGAAACAGTGTTTTATCAACAGACAGAAGCGTACAATAACATGGTTGCAGCCCGCACTCTCCAGCATATTAGCCACAAGCTTAGCGGTAATAGGTCCGCGACTGCGATCTTTCTTATCCTGTCGCGAGTACGGAAAACACGGAATGACAGCCGTGACTCGCTTCGCGGACGCAATCTTGCAAGCATTGATGGCAATCAGCAGCTCCATCAGTCGGTCGTTGACCGGTTCCGACGCCGTCTGGAGAATGAATACGTCGGCATTGCGGACTGAGGCACCGATGGAGACGAACGTCTCGCCGTTGGAGAACCGTGTGGTGACTAGGCCGTCGGAGCCGACGGGGTATCCAATTCTGAGCCATCCATTAGATTGAATCATTTGATCTAGTGTTGTCTTGAGTTACCTGATGCTCACTTGGCTTGCCAGCTCACCGTGGCTGCTTCCTTCGCGGCGTCAGTTCGATAGACATCCAGACTACTCCATAGCCTGAGGACATACCAGAAAGAAGACACAGTCCCATTGTCATTGACGCAATTGGGATAAGCTCCAGGGGTTTACAGCTCCCATTTTCCACCCTTGCTTTACAGAACAGGGGTTATAAGGACCATAGTGTTATTTCATGGTGGATTGAAAGTAGGAGGTTTCTCGATAACGCGATATCTCGTATCAGATGTTGATAACGCAGTGATAAGTCTGATAAGATCTTATCAGGGCCAGATGCTTTCCCCGCATTCTCTCGGCTAACTAATGTCTTGGTAGATGTTGGCCGGTCGGGATAGTGCGCGCATCCTGGACAAGATCGGTCTAGTCATCCAATTGCTTGAGGGCTTGTACGTAATCGGTGCTTCGGCGGTTATCCCCGGATTCTTTGATGGATAGCTGGGCAGTTTGCTTGGCTAGTATGTCCGGCTTGCGAGTATCCTTGAACGCGGCCAATGGCGATATCGAGCACTATGCAAGGATCTGGACCAGGTAGGTGCTTAGATCTAGGTAGAATCTGGAGACGTAATCGGACCTTGGCATGTTAAGAACAGCATGCGTTACTAATAGCCTGGAAACAAGTCAATGTTTGTAGCATATTGTTGATGTTGAATTGGGCAGGGTGCAAACCAGTATTTGGCTGGATTTAGCTGGATTCAGTCTATGAACACACCATGAACGATGATTTATGAGGAATGAGAGAACGTATATTTTCTTATTGTAATTCTAGGAAGCTTGACCGTACACGATTGTCCATCTACTGATTCGTAGGCATGGCCAATCCTGTCCTCGCAGCAGGAGCATCTCTGCTCGCCCACTTGGACGTGACCGTCTTTAGCTGGGTATAGAAGTTGACACCCGGGCGTCCGTAGAAAGTACTAGCACCGCCTCCCGCAACACTCCTCTTGTTGCCAGTGAAGGAAAACATAGGCAGAGGGACCGGAATAGGAACGTTGATTCCAACCTGCCCGGCCTCGATGTTCTTGCGGAATCGCTCTGCCACCGCCCCGGAGGACGTGAACACCGCCGTGCCATTCCCGTACTCGTTCTGGTTGATCAAATCAATACCCTCGTCCAGGGAATCCACATTCAGACAAACCAGCACCGGCCCGAATATCTCTTCGCGGTAGCATTGCATCGAGGAACGCACGTCGCTGATGACCGTCGGCCCCACCCAGTTGCCATCAGGATAGGACTTGGGCTTATACCCGCGGCCGTCCAGAAGGATGGTGGCTTTTTCGGCCTCAGCACTGGCAATCAGCGTCTCAATACGCGACTTGCTCTGCGGCGTCACCACCGGGCCCAGGTCCGCGCCATCTTCGAAGCCGCCGTCCACGCGGAGCGCTTTGGCACGCTCGACGAGTTCGGGCAGCCAGTGTTTCGTCTCTCCGGCAAACAGCACAACAGACAAGGCCATGCAGCGCTGCCCGGCAGCGCCAAAAGCAGCACTGATAATGGCATCCAACGCCGAGTCCTTGTCGCAGTCGGGCATGACCAGCGCGTGGTTCTTTGCTCCTAGATTGGCCTGTACGCGCTTCCCGTTCGCGGAGCCCCGCGCAAAGATGTATTCCCCGGCTTTGTTGCTGCCGACGAAGCTGATTGCCTTGATCTCGGGCGCATCGAGTAGAAAGTTCACTGTGTCGTGGGTTCCGTGCACGACGTTGATCACGCCCTTGGGGAAGCCCGCCTGCGCGGCTAATTCCACGAGAATCATGGCAGCGCCGGGGTCCCGCTCGGACGGTTTCAGTACAAGCGTGTTGCCGGTGATCGTGGCGATGGGGATACACCATAAGGGAATCATAGCGGGGAAGTCTGCAATTGTTAGTTCATGCCCAGACAAAAAACCAGAGCGGCGCAGGCCCACCATCCAGCCCTGAGTGTATGGGGATACCCAATTGGTCACAAGGATATTGCGTGCAGCCTTGCAGAACTGACTTGTCTAATGCCCTGTCTTCCCAAAAAAAAAAAAAAAAAAAAAAAGTTAAATCAAAGGGCCCATAGAGGCAATCTACTTACTAAACGGACAGATGGCAGCAACCACTCCCAGAGCCTCACGGTACGTCCGCGTCTCCATGTCCCTGGCGACCTCCAACACCTCGCCCTTCATGTATTCGGGCCCCGCACACGCAGCCTCAGCCACTTGCAGGCCACGGAGGACATCCCCCTTCGCGTCCGCCAGCGTCTTTCCCTGCTCCAGCGTGATCATGGCTGCCAGACGGTCCCAGTTCTCCCGAATCAAGGCCACGTACCGGAACATGATCTGCTGGCGGGCAATAGCCGAGGTGCGCTGCCACGCGGGGAATGCGCGCTGGGCGCTGGCGACCGCCTCTGTCAACTCGTCGCGGGTCATCTGCGGGACGCGAGTGACGAGGTTATTGGTGGCGGGATCATGCACATCAATCTTTTCGCCGGCGCTGGACAGGCGGAATTCATTGTCGATGAAATAGGGGGTGTCCTTGGGGTTGGCTATGCGCTCGTGGGATCGGGGGAACACCGTTGATGTTGTCCCCAGAGCGTCTTGTGGAGTCACAGATTGAGCCATAGTTATTTTAAGAATTGTTTTTTCTTGATTGTATCTTCTGAAAAGACGGAAGATGAAGGTAGACCGTGATAGACAAGGAATACTGTTTGTTTACAAATGTCGTCCATTTTGTAATGGTCCGTGGGGAAGCGTCCATTGAGCGGGGTCAGATAGGGAATCAAGATAAGGGCGCCGATAAGGGCTGAGATAAAGCGCCCGATAAGACAGGCTGCTTATCAGTTCTTATCATCGGCCATCTCCCAGTCTCGACCGATTCCATGCGAGATGGAAAGAATACAAAAGCCTCCCAATGGACGGACATGAAGGAAGACCATCGTCTTTTCCTTGAGTATCTTTCAGGGTTTTAATTTTTTTTTTCTATCCTGTCTTCCCTTCCTAAGTCATGACTGTTCCAGACAACGCCAACTCCGATAGCAGCGGGGCCCCGGCCAGTGCCCGGGGTCAACGTATTATCGTATGTGTCCCAGTTGGAGCTCAATCCCTTTACACAGTCTCGTCTAATATCCCTCCAGCTCACCACATATCCTGGCCAAAGTGTCGTGGATCCCGTTCCGTTAAAATGGGGCGCCGCAGACCCCCAGGAGCGAGGCCCGGTACTCGTGTCGCGGGCAAGCAAGTCCATCACACGCCGCAACGCCATCGGCGCCCACGGCGGCAGCTACTCCGTCTACAACGCCCTCGCCATCGCCTCCGGAGACCTCCCGCTGAACTTCACCCCCAGTTTTGAAAACACACAGCCGGTGTTCGACTTCCCCGCCCAACCAGCCTGGGGTGACCCGACCAAGATCGTGGCCATGGACCCCTACGGCCACGACACGGTACGCCTCTTCAAAAACCACCTGTCCAGCGGTCTGGACATCCGACCCACCATTGCCGTAACGCGCGCAACCATGCGCCTCGCCGAAGTCAGCGAGTCCATCAGCAGCGGCCGGGTCCCAGTCGACGGCGAGATCGTCGTCAACAAGGCCGGTGACGTCCGCGTGACCAAGGCCGCCGTCGAGCCGGTCTGGTATCTGCCCGGCGTCGCCGAGCGCTTCGGCGTGGACGAGTCCACCCTGCGCCGAACACTCTTCGAGCAGTGCGGCGGCAGTTTCCCCGAGCTGATCACCCGCCCGGACATCAAGGTCTTCCTGCCGCCTATTGGCGGTCTCACGGTGTACATCTTCGGCCCGCCGGAGAACGTCTCCAACCCCAATGTCAAGCTGGCCCTCCGCATCCACGACGAGTGCAACGGTTCCGACGTGTTCCAGTCTGATATCTGCACCTGCCGACCGTACCTCGCCTTTGGCATTGAGGAGGCTATCAAGGAAGCCCAGAACGGCGGCTCGGGCGTGGTCATCTACTTCCGTAAAGAGGGACGTGCCCTCGGTGAGGTCGTCAAGTATCTCGTTTACAACGCGCGCAAGCGGGGCGGCGACACGGCAGATAAGTACTTTGCGCGGACAGAGAACATTGCGGGTGTACGAGATGTGAGTGACCTATTTCCAATTAGTCTTCTCAAAGAGTGGCTGCTAACTTCCACAGATGCGCTTCCAAGCCCTCATGCCGGATATTCTGCAGTGGCTGGGCATCAAAAAGATCGACCGCATGCTTTCCATGTCGAACATGAAGCATGACGCGATCGTGGAGCAGGGTATTCCCATTCTCGAGCGGATTCCCATTCCAGACGGTACGTTGTCTTTCCTTTCATTGCATGTTCTATATGGGTTCGTCACTGACAAAAGCAGATATGATCCCGGAAGACTCGCGCGTGGAGATCGACGCCAAGATCAACGCGGGATACTTCACCACAGGCAAGAAGTACACGACGGAGGAGCTGGCGCAGATTGAGGGCCGGGGGTGGCAGAGCTGGGAGGATGTGCCGCACTAATAGTATAATGGTCGATGTGTTGCTTTTGGAGCGGAGTATGTGAAGGCAGGGTCATGAGCTTGGACCAGATCCGGTCTTTGAAATTGAAATTAGAATATCGATATCAATAAATTATCAAATATATCAGATTTTCCTATATTTTGAGTACGTATTCTTCTACCAGGGTAATCTGTTGTTATCTTTGATCTTTGTCCACGGCCTCATCTACCTACCTACAGTACGTATCTTGAGTGTCAAAACAAACCTCTAGAAATACTCATACCAATCATAACCCATTTCATCACAACTTCCAATACATCCCTCGTAAGAATAGCCCTCTCTCAGACTGAGTTGCAGACTAGAGTCACAAGAGCACTGGTATCCAGGTAATAGGTATATAGTTCTTATCAGTCGGACTATCTTATCGCTATAACCCTAGCAGTAGAGATGGTATCGAAGAGCGGCTGTCTTTTTTTCTCCGCTTCTACCTCGAGCTTGCATTCGTGATGTATTTCAGTTGAATAATTGAATCAATATAGAAAAATAAATATATGGAGTTTAAGAAGACAGAGGCATATAGAGAGAGAGAGAATAGTGGTTTGTGATGAGTAAGTCCATTTGACACTGTGAATCGGCCCATGATGTGCGCGGTGAAGCCCCAATCATGTAAACAGCTAGACAGCTAGACCCAGACGATTATCCACAGACAGTGAATCAATTTCTTGTCCCCTATATTATAAGTCTACACCGCAATTCAAACCAACAATACTACCCTGGACTATATGCACTACCATCAACACGGCTTAGCGCATCCCATAGCCGGCCCCCTTGCAGGAAGATAAGCCGAACAGTGCGGGGAAAACACAACCCAGTCTTAGTCTTATCACCACCATAGCGTGTCCCCATCCACCACTATCTAGACCCTAATCGATCAGTCCTATCCAGCTCAATCAACATTATTATCTCGACAATCAAGAAAAGAAAAGATAGAATGCCCCCCACCGCTCGGGTTTCCCGCCGCGTCCGTTTCACCCCTTTCCCCCAGGTGGCTTATCTGGGCGGCAATGACAGTGACTTGTCAGGCAGTACTCCTAGCCATGGGACTGGAGAGATCGGTATCGCCACGCCTGGTGTGATTTCGTCTTCGCCGCTACAAGACTTTCAGCAGTCGCCTGTCTCGCAGTGCAGTCCGACTTTTACGCTCTCTGAGTCGGGCAGTAATGGCAGTCCCGGGAGTAGTAATACAAGCACCCCCGGGTCAGGGACAGGGTCAGTGTCGATATCAACAACAGAGACCCGCCCAACAGTGACCCACCTATTCATCAACAACCAACGAGTAATGTCGAAATCCAAGCACTGGACAAGCATTCTAGACCCAGTGAGAATTGACTCATCTGCACCAAAGGCTGCCGCCCAATCGCTGACGAGAGAGTGTCTGTCATAAGGGCACGCAGCGTCTCCTCTCCCGAGTACCTAGCAGCACGCATGACGAAGTCCAAACGGCTGTTCATGCAGCCGAGACAGCGCAGGACGCATGGGCTGCGCGGGGCTTCCAGAGCCGCAGGGAGTACCTGCTTGATTGGATTGATGTGCTTAGGGAGATGACTCCTGATATTGTAAGTGTTTTGTTTTTTTTTTTTTCTTCAACGTTATGTCTAGAGTGAACTAACTAATATTGATCGGTTGATGGTGATTAGGTTGCGTGTCTGTGTCGCGAGGTAGGAAAGACCCTCGCAGACGCTAACACCGAAGTCTTTCGCGGCCTGGACTGCATCCACGCTGCGTGCTCAATTGGGACCGAAATGGCAGGCATGTATCTGGGGTCAGACCCTACCATCTTGCAAACGTTTTACGAGCCGGTGGTACGCCCTTACATATACACACATACATGTGTACATCCATTGATAAGAATCAAGTCTAACCAACCCAGGGCGTCTGCGTAACCATCGCCCCCTTCAGCTACCCCTTCATGATTCCCCTCTGGTCTCTCCCCTACGCCCTCATAACAGGCAACACCGTAATCCTGAAACCCTCCGAAAAAGCGCCCTCCCTCTCCACCCTCCTCGCCGACGCCGTCATCCGCACAGGCTTCCCCCCCGGAATCTTCAACATCCTGCACGGCGACCGCACCACAGTCCGCACCCTCATCCCCAACCCCTCAGTCCAAGCGATCAGCTTCGTCGGATCGGAGACAGCCGCGCGCGAAGTCCACGATCTCGCCCGCACAGCCGGAAAACGCATCCAGGCCGAATGCGGCGGCAAGAACCACGGCGTCGTCCTCGACGACGCGAGCATGATGCCTACTCTCTACGCCATCGCGGGCAGCGCATTCGGCGCAACCGGTCAACGGTGCATGGCGCTCAGCGTGGCCATCTTCGTCGGCGGTACGCGCGAGTGGATTCCCAAGCTGGTGGATCTCGCGCAGTCGATGGTTGTCGGGATGGGCGGGGACGAGGATACGAAGCTGGGGCCGCTGATCAGTCGGGACGCGAAGGAGCGGGTGGTCGGGGTGATTGATCGGGCTGTTGATGAGGGCGCGATGGTCTTGCTGGATGGGAGGGATGTCTCTGTTCCGAGGTTTCCGGAGGGGAACTTTTTGGGCCCGACTATTCTTATGGGGGTGGAGACTTATATGGAGTGTTATCAGACGGAGATCTTTGGGCCCGTGTTGATTTGCATGCAGGTTGATACGCTGGATGAGGCTATCGATTTGATCAATCAGAATAGGTGTACGCCCTATACCACCCTCATTTGGACCACTGAGCTGACCTGACCTGATAAGACGGCAACGGCTGCTCGATATTCACCACCAGCGGGAAACAAGCAAAGACGTTCCAGCGGAGAGTCAACGTCGGTCAGATCGGGATAAACATTCCATTGATAGGTGAATCTCCCTTACCCTGGCAGTATAGGTTAGAACACATATACTAAACGGTTGATAATCAACACAGCACCATACGGACCAGCCGTACGAACAAGTAACAAGGATTCATTTCTAGGAGGTAAGACAAGACTCCGTTGTGCTTAAAGACAACCGCAAGGCTACATTACTGACGTCCAAAGATCGACACGCCCCTGGCAAGACTTACTGGCCTTTTTTCACGACTGTTAAGACGGTGTCGGCGCGGTGGGATCAGTAGTTTGTTTTTTTTTGGGGGGGTGTTATTGGGGATGGAGTTGGGGTTTGGATATGAATAATGATGTTTATGATTGATTGGACTCACTGCTGTTGTCAAGCCTATCGTACTGTACTACTAGCTGTGTGTCGGATGTTGAATTAGTGTAGGTACTAGGTAGAACCTTGGAGGTCTAGGTGTATTATCGGGCTAGGGGCTGTCATTTGATTATGATGCCAGCCAATGTTACTATCTACCTACGAGTACGTTACTACGTGGTACTATCAAAACCCGATACCAAATAATCAAGTCATCTGTCTTGTTATTCAATCGTAGATTTGACCTTACTATAGCAAGACTACACGTATCTCGACAGACATATTCCAGTATGATAGCCAGATCCTCACAGCTCCCCACTTCCCCAGCCAAATTCATCATCTTCACCAAAGAGATGACCACCCGCCAACTCCCCAACCGCCTTAGCAGCCGTCGCAGCCCACTCAGCCAACGTCTCCGCAGTCCCCAGACCATCATCTTGAACGTTGACGTCCTGGTCAAGGAAAGCCAGTCCCTCCATGGCATGCCCGCCACAGGCACGCTCCAAAGCCAAGAACGCAAAATGTCCACCGATAACTGGGCGGGCGAAGAAGTTCGGACCGGGGAACCCGCCCTTGCCCTCTGTGTTGTGGAGGTCTGTGAACGGACGGTCGGTGATGGTCTCGTTCACCCACTGCGCGACGGACTCGAGGATCTCGCTCCGGGTGTCCTTGCTGGCTACGGCCATGGCGAAGAATTCCCAGTCCGTCTTGGTGTACATGTGTCGGCTGTCGAGCGGCACGCCGTACTTCTGTCGTACGTAGTGGTACCAGATTGACTGTCTCTGGTAGATGTGGCGGGGGACGAACCCGGTCTTCTTCTCCGATGTCTGGGGGGAATCGGGGGAGATCTGAGGGTCGAGATCTGTCCCTTCGAGGTGGAAGCATAGCTGTGCGTCGGCGTAGAGGTTGTAGATCGTTGTCCAGGAGCCGTACCAGTCGTAGGCTAGCTTTGCGTGAGACTTATCGCGGGACATTCCGTATTCTTCCCATTTGGCGATGTAGGTTTCCGAGACATTCTGCTACCTGTTAGTACAATTCGAAATAGAGCTTTTGTGGAGACGAACCTTGTAGTATGCGGCGTCTTCGGGATGGCCCGCCACCTCGGCCAGCTTGCTCATTGCGTGAATACCAACAATGCCTTTCAGGGCCAGGTTGGTCTGCAAGGCCAACCAGCCAGCGAAGTCATCGGTGGATACTAGTCTGGTCAGCTTCTTTTCTCCTCTTTCTTTATCCTAATAACGGGTACTTACGCTGGTTCGCCGGCTCCAAGGAGTAATCCACCAAATATCCCGTCCATTGAGTCCAAAGCCTGTAGCTGCGCTGGACCCACTGCTCGGCTTCGCGATGGCCTTGGGCACCGCCACCCCACTTGGCATCCTGCTTGTCGATTCCTGACAGAGCTTGGAAGCTGTTCAGAGGGAAGTATCCGGGATTTCCATCAGATTCCGGTGCCGCAGCACCCTGCGCCGACCAGAAGGACGACGCGGCCGCATCGTCCGAGTAACGGAGCGAGTTCACGATGGCCAGACCCATGATGAGGATATTGCCGCATTCCTCCACAGGCATGTATTCATCCTTTCCGTCGGGATGACCCGTGGCATTGGGGAAGTGTGTTCCCAGATCATGCATCGCGTAGGTGTTGGGATACTGACCACTGAGCATGTGCTCGATCAATGGCTCCAGGAGGTAGGCCAACCATCGCGGGTTCGTATAGAGGAAGAAGGGGAAGGCCGGGAAGATGACGTCGATGGTCTGGAAGTTGCCGTTGGAGGAGATCTCCTTGAGGAACAGGATCGGGTCTTCTGGGGTGCCGGAGAAGGTGGTTGCGCCCATGACTTGGCGGGCTGTCAGAGCAACGATGTCAACGTAGTCATGCGCACCGGATTTGTAGGCATCCGCGGCCAGCCTGTCGGAGTAGTCGGACGCAAGGACTCCCGCATCGACGAAGTCGTGATAGTGGAAGTCCAGCAGGGCCTCGACGCTGGAGAACCAGGACTGCCACAGTGGCCGCATCATCGTCAATCCTCGCGAGGACGCATATTGCACCACGGGATCTTGGATCAAGGCGATGGTAAAGGTGACGCTGTTGGATTTGCCGGGGGTGAAGTTCTTGGAAAACGCAAAGACGGGCTCTCGATCCCTGATGGGTCGGAAGCGACGGTCATCGGTGTTCCCCAGGCCTCCCTGGGATGCAAACGCGCGTCTCACGTCCACGGCGCCTCCGGATTGAAATCGAACGTCCTAGAATTAAGTTAGCCACAGAGAACTCGATTTCGCATAACACCGATCGTCGCATGGATACGCACAGCGGGTCCCGTGAAGTGGAGACTGCCCCATTCGGCGCGGTCCCGGATCTCCGAGAGCAGCAATTCATTCTGTCGTTGAAACTTCCATCTTTGCAGGGCGGGTTTGTTGTCCTGCGAGCGCAGGCTGTCATATTGCCAGTTGATGTGACTTCCTGCGTCGCCGCTGACCCAGCGCCCGTTGACATCCATATACACGTTGACTTCCACATCGCCGTGGACATGGACAGTCACATAAGACGCCGGGATGGACTGCCGCAGAGTCGACGTCGGGGTGATGGGGGAGAGGAAGGAAACGGTGATGTCGAGCGGGGTTGATGAGGCATCAATGCGATAGGTAAAGTTGGTCGTGGACGCGTCGTAGTTGGCACCGAGATAGGTCGGGAATTTCACTGGCGGGGCCCTGGCCAGCGTGTCAGTACGATCCCGGGAAATTTGCAGATTTCACACCAGACTGACCCATCCTCGTGCGACAGAGAGTCTTGCGGCTTTCCCAGCAGCGGGTAGACGGCCCCTGTGCTGGGGACCTGCGCCAGGAGGGAGAGGCCAACCTCCTCTCCTGTGTAGAACATGGGCCATCTCGACCAGGGGGCATCGCGAGCCCCGCCACCAAACCAGATACTCAAGTAGGGATTTCGCACGGTCAAGGGGAGCACAGGCGGAGTCAGGGTGGAGGCCGTTGTGACCACTGCCTGGAGGGCAGCGGTTGCCAGGACTGCAAGGGACGGGCGCATTGCAGGCTGGCGGTGTGTAACTCGATCAGCGGGAGGGAGATGATTTCCGAGATCAAAGGGATAGTTTGGTAGGGGGATAGGATATTTTCTAGGGGAAAAAAGGAGTGAGGAGGAGAAGAGGAGAATCGAGAGAATCGAGAAGGTCGGTCAATGGCGAGGCGCTGCTGACGGAATGGCCATGCGTGGATGGGGTGATGTAATGGCGAGGTAAAGAGCAATGATCGACTCACCTCCACTCCCAAAGCGGGTGGGGATGTTGGACTTGCTCTCTGAGGGGTCACAGAGACATCGACCGACCAGTGACGAGGATGAAGTCTGGAATGGAGAACGATGATTGCAGGATGAAATGCGGGGAAAGCTCGCCGGTTGCGGGTTGACAAAGGGAATAAATAGAACAAATAAACAAACAGAAGAGATAAATTGGATAGATGAATGATCGAAATGAATTAGTGAATAGATAGAAAAAAATAAATTGAATTCTTAAATAAAGAGTCAAGAAATATTCCACTACAGTTCTGTGATCAGAAAAGACCGGCGTATTTATTATGCTACGACATCCCTCTGTCACCGCGCAACTCTTCCTGGGACCTACCCCCTTCCATAATGATTCCACCGATGCGGATAGGATGACCGAAAAATATGTACCACATTCAGGCTTGTCCTAGAAATATCTTGTATAATATGAGAAACTGGATATAGCTGTCAAATAGTAATATTGTAGCTAGCGAACGTAGACTATCAAAAGCTGAAAGTCTTCCAGCAATGTAAAGCTAATATTGATACATGACCGTCGTGGTGGCAGCACAGCTTTCATACAGGTTGGTCTTCATCAGATGGAACGTAGTCAGGGTCTTCATTCTTTCCGTCATCAGGTCGAACCTTCTGCACAGCTCTATTAAAAGCTGTACAATCCTTTGCAGCTGCCAGTAAAGCTCTATAAGCACTCATATCTAAAGCGAGAGATCTGGTGCTGTCAAAGTCCGGTCCGCATCTGTGTCTAGGTGGTATAAGATCCTGGATCGTAATTCGCGGGTCTTCGCAGTTGAGCGGCTCCGGAAGTATCTCCTTTTTCAAGCAGTTAAATTTTGAAAGCAATAGTCATTACTGGGATGAGATCACTGACAACACGACTACCTCGCAAACAAGGTCGGTCTTCTCGAAGTTCCCAAAATTCCAAGAAAGCAGCGAATGAGCCAACCCAATCTGATGTCACGACCTCCGCCCTGAAAGCCTCATCGAAATCTGTATCTGTCGATCTTGACGCGGCATCTGACTGGACATCAAAAGACCTCACCGCTGTGTCGTCGCCGTATTTGCTGACCAGGCTCTGGAGTGTTGATTTGAATGTAATGCTTTGCTGGTGAGCCCTCAACCCTTCGAGATCCTCGGTGATCTTGATAATGACCACCAACCCCACGCGTCCATGACTTCTGAGAAGCCACTGGCGGGCATCATCAAGAAGGTCCAAGTATTTCTCCGATACCCCCACTTCAAAAACAACTCGTGGGTGCGACCGATGGCCTAGTTGGCCATAGACTATCAGCCCATCAGGATGCTTGCGCCAGGCCTGTTGTTTTCCCCCAATGCTTTGTAAGACTTTCGAAAGCCGGACACCTTTGGTTGCCAGAGAGATGCATTCGGTTTCGGCAAATGATAATATTTCGCGATTTGCTTTCACCAGAGACCGGTAAAGAAACTCACATATTGCATCGTGAAGGGGATGCGGCATCCCTTGTACTTTTAGGATCTCAAGCTCTGGATCAAATGTAACTCTACGACCTTGGGCCCGGAGGGTTTTGAGGGTCTCGGCGATTAACGAACTACTCTGGATTTCCTGGGGGCACTTCAGAAGAAGATCATAGTCGCCTATATCTCTCTCTGGAAACGTATTCAGTATGTCATAAGCTTGGCTTTCTCGGTAGACTGGTATGGCGGCAGAACTTTTGGATGATCTAGCACAAGGCCTTGGAGGTATTGCGGATGGAGCCATCTGAGATGAGGGTGACGGGGTTGACGACTGACAACTGAAGTCGGAGTCGCTGGGATTAGCTACAGAGTCTTTAGACTGTGAACTCGGAAGGAACATCTTGAGGGGGGGGGAGCTGCTGAGATCAAAAATAAGATTCCGAGAAGGCAGCTGCCACGGGAAGGAGTTCCTGGGTATATAATAAGTCTGGCCAAGCTAGAAGAAGATTGACGACTTGTCAGTATGAAGTCATCTATAGCTTTGTGCGTTGCTATCATGTGATTCCGTATGTACACAGGCAGACGGGAAGTCCGAAGTACAAACAAGTGAATGAAAAATGGGATGTTTCCATATTGATTCTTTTCTAGTTTCAGCAACTTCACACAGTGATTCGAGATGTACTTATGAATCATTAGAGTAAACTACAACCCATTTTGAGTAACTGCCTGCAGATCAACAAACTAGAAAAAGGTGCCTGAATTACTCCGTACAGTCCGGTATCATACTGGTATCAGTACCGGACAGGGCGTACAGGTACGGAGTAAGATACACTACTACGTACTACTAACTACTACAGACCCGGATAGCGCGAGATACTCTCGACACGCGACATCCCACGCGCTCGTCCACCCTCGTTTCTTCCCACTTCTCTCCAGCTGCTGATTTTCTTCTCTCGTCGACTTTGTCTGGGTAGATTCTCACTCGTTCAGCTACCTGATCTTTCTCGTCGACCCAGCATTAATTGTTCCCCGTCACCTCCACTACCTTTATCCATTGGCCTCGCTCTTCTGCTCTAATCAAGCTCCAATCACCATATACTCGACCGACTCAACTATAACCGGGGATCGTGTTGATATACTGACGACACAGCTCCAATCCCCTCTCCCTCCGCTCGCCTCAACTCCATCCATCCGTCGATTCTTCCATTCTCCGGAATGTATCACACCTTCTCCCCCAGCCCCGTCAAAGAGGGCAGACGGATTCTCGGCGAAAAGACCCCCAACGCGTGTCTGTCTCCGGCACACCACCGACACGCATCCGCTTCGCCTGTCAAATCCCAATTGACAACCTCACCACGCAAACTCCTTCCTTCGCCGTCCTTCGCGGGTCAGAAACGATCAATTGACCAGGTGGACCACGATCAAACCCGCGTCAACAAACATGGCGTGTCGTCGCCCCGCAAAGAGGCCCCGCGGGGACATGCCTCTCAGACCGGAACCCAAACACTATCCACGGTGCTGGAGGACAGTCAGGTAAGACCTGAGTCCGCACGTAAAATCTTTAGGCGTGCTACTTGTTTGAATGGGTGCTAATCATGATCAACCAGCTCTCCCAGGTAACACGCCCGGACGCGTTGAACCCCGAGAACTCGCAACCACAACAAGAACAAACCTCCAGTCAAACCACCGAGCTGGCAGAACCAGTCAGCCCAGAGACCACCATTCCCGAAGACCCTAACACGCGCAAGTTATTCATCCAAAAGGTCGGATCCCTTCCCCCGCACCTAAAACCCCAAACAAACGAAGAATGTGGACTGATCACCCAATAGAAAGCCAACCTCCTCCGCAGCCGAATCCAAAACGCCATGCGTCACGTTCACGACCCTCAATTCGACCGTCGTCTCTCCGATCTAGAAGCCCACAGCCGCAAATACCCCCGGTTATCACGCCCCGACCTTCTGGAAACCCCGACCCAACGCAAGTTCATCCCCCATCTGTCGAATGACACAGCGACACCTTCCGCCGTCGCCCCGCGAGCTCTCCAGCCGGCTCTGGAGCTCCACCCTGGGCTCTCGTCTCCCCCTCTCTCCGCCGGTGCCGCCTACCTCCCGGATCCCCTGCGGACTCCGACCCAGAAACACCATCCCCGCCAGGCCGCTCACTCGCCGATGCAGCTGAGCAGTCCGCCGGCGAGTGCGTCGCGCAGGAGACATGCCGAAAGAGGGCTCAACCCGGACCAGACGGAGGAGTCACAAGAGGATGGGGAGAGACAGCAGAACACACCGTCCCACAAGGGAGATGGTGATGGTGATGGAGACGGAGACGGCGACGCAGTAGACGGCCTACTCAAGCTGATGAACACAACCGACCGAAACGGCAGCCCGGCAGCCCTAACTAGCTGATCCCCTCGAGCTAGAACGACGACGATGGCCTTATATTGGCCACGGACGAATTCTCGTCAGTGCGGATCCTGGCCTCCGCCGTGCTGGACTATGCTTCTCACGGCTCGACCATCCTGGCTACTGGGATATTCCTACTACTGTGGTCGAATCCACCCAATCTCCTACAGATACAGGTGGAGAGGGGCATGGTTAATGTGATTCTGAAGAGCCTAACGATCCCAGGGCTATGACTCATTTTGCATCTGGCGTTTCTCAGATACTATACACTGCTTGGAGCATCAATGATACCGCTTGTGATGGTTTTGATTAGCTTATGTTATGGACGGTAGATGTTGCATGTACAGTAAAGTATACTATAGTCTCGAATTCGATTCACTACGTGATGAGCAAAAACATACCATGCTACTGTATTTGTCATTGAGTAAAGCATTATATGGACTGTAGTCCGAACGATGATATCCACCCCACGTTTCCCTCTGAGAATAAAGATAATCATGATAATCATGATAGTCCAGGAGAACCAAAGCGAACTAAAATGAAAATAGAAGTTTAAAATGCAAAACCCAATATCCCGAATGCATAAGCGCCGCATGCATGGTGGCCCAAGAGATCCATCATGCCCGACATGCGTAGATATGGCATAATACGTGGCGCAGGTTCGTGCTATTGTTGGCTTGCAGATCCAGACTTCCTACATCGCAAGTACTCGTCTCTCCTCTCACCTCAACCCCCCACTCAACGTTACTCAAGTCTGGAGAGTTTCTGCTGTGTACAAACCAATTCTATCTTCCACCCGTCCGACTAGCCACAGATTGCTCGAGTAGTCCAAACCATGGTGCTCAAAGACCGCAGAAGCGAGGCCTGCTACTCAATTTACCGAGGCCGTGTTGATACGCCAACGATATATCGTTCCTGGTACTGGAGTGAGATACCCGCCGGGCGACATCTGTGAAGCTAATTCGGGACATGACATCTCTTAGGAGCCAAGTCCACCCGAGAGTGACGGGCTATGAAGGCGCGGACCACGCACGATTCGACACCATCGAGCTGGCTCGAAAGGATATGCAATCCCGGAACGTCGGACACTTCGAGGAAGTGATGGATATGGAGGCGAACGGCAAAAGGCCTGGCCCGCGCAAACGCAAATACTATGCGGTTGCCGGGGGAAGGCGCACGGGGGTGTTTACGAACTGGCGGTAAGTAGTCTTTTGGATGCTTGGATCCAAGGCTGGAGTTCTGACAAGGACCTAGCGATGCGGATGCTGCCGGCACAGGCACGAATGCGTGTCATGAATCTTTCGCCACCCGGGAGGAAGCAGACAGGTTCATTACGGCTTGGAAAGATGCCTACGCGGATACGTGGAGAAGACAGATTAGAATTGCGCTGGACAGTGGCTGGTGCCCCAAGGATATGGAGATGGACACTGGGTTTCTCTTATGCAAAGACTCTGGTGGGCTTCCAAAGCTGGAGAATCTCAGCATCAAAGACGGGCTCGAGTGAGAGCGGTTCAGTCGGCGAGCTCACAGTCGGCCTTGCTGCAACTGGGCTGGTCTACATGTTACAGTCCTAGTGACTATAAAGAGATGACTGAATAGGTTAGGTAGATGGAGGTCTCATTGATTGATCGTTGGTTTCCTTGAAGCCATCCAGCCAGCCGTTGAGTCTCCCATATTGCCCCGGGTGTCCAAAGCCTCGATATCGACGATATCCTCAAATGACGTAGAACTAGAAACAACTCTAACAGTTTAAAGACACCTTCCAGCAGTATTCTTCAGAAATAAGCCGTTGTATCCTGTCCGCTCGTTGTTCAGTTTGATGGGAGACGCTAAGTCTAAGATGCCATCCCCCTCTGGAGCAAGCCTCCACTGATCCCCAAGCTCCACAAACAAGGCTCCCACAATTAGCGCAATAGCCCGTGGACCAAATTCATTCTGAGCAGGGCAGATGAATGGTTTGACCCCGAATGGGCGAAAAGCGTACCGTTGTCGAGGTGTCAGCCCCGTCCATCTTTCCGGTTTGAATTCCGTCGCAGTTGAGCCCCACGCAGAGGTTGCATGGTGGGAGGCTTCCACGTCAAAGGCAAACATCCCTTTGTTGCTGCTGCTTTCGGCACTGTCAGCCGCACGGTAGATCCTCCTGGTCGGCGGATATAAACGCAATGCCTCGTGGATCAGCATGCCGGCCGAAACACCGCGGTGGCTCCTCCGCTCGAATTGCGACTTGGTTGGCTGACGCGTAAAGGCAGCCAGCATTTGCCGCCAGTGCGGATTGCGAAGACCCGTTTTAAATCCAACCTCAAGAAAGACCCGTAGGGAGATCCTCCACATGGTTTCAAACCCTGGGAGGATCAGGTTGAGAGGGTTTTCAGCACCGTGCAGACGGTCTGCTTTGGGGAAGATCGCTGTGATCGACTTCTGGAGGGAAATGTTGTCCTCAAACGGATGCACCTCCGAGGGGTCTTTGGATTGCATCCATGCTTTGTTGATTTCGCTGGCTAATTTCACGAGGTTATCATCGGATGTATAAATGGCCTCGTCGTCCATCGCGAATAACACGAGAAGTACGACTCTCAGTGTCAGGATCTGGACAAGATTGACCAAGGAAACTCCTGATGTGGAAGACGCATGCAGGTTTAACGTGTGCCGTGCAGAAGCATAGGTCACATATGAGAGTTGCTCCCAGTCCCCTGAGCTCAGCCTGAGACGGTTCCTTGTGTCCCGGATAAAGCGCTCTACTTCGCCATGGTTGTCATTTGTGAAAGCGTTGCTGATGCCAAATACAGCACACAACCTTTGATTTGCCAGCGCTCGACAACGGAGTGTGTTAAACTTCTGGAACTTTTCTGTTTCAACTTTCGATTCTGAGCGTGGACCGCTTACATGGGTGTTCGAGTCACGCCAGAGAGAGATTCGGCAACAATGTATCATATATAAGCGCAACAAGATTCCGACCAGAATCACCCATGCAGTCACAATCATTTTCACTGGTACAATCAATATATATTAAGACGATAAGGAATATTG